GCAGGATAGGCACTAACACTCTCTCAGTCTAGTATGGAGCTAACGAAAATTACCCTGGAGGAGTGTAGAGATGTGCGGATGCTACAAGTAGGTACTACACGGTATCTCGTATAGACTAAACCATACCTAGTATTGTTTGGATAATCCTAGAAACTTTTCCAACCTCTCTGCTCTCCCATCGCCTTTTCGTGCTCTTTGCGAAGCAAAAGAAGGTCCAAAGTCATGTCGACGCCAGGGGCCGTGGCAGGTCTCGAGACTTTCGACTCGCTCAACATCGACTATGAGAAAGCTTACCACAACAACCCATACAAGATAGCGTGCATCAAGAAAGCCATCACTCTCATCAAACCAGGATCACGTGTTTTAGATGTCGGCTGCGGGACAGGGGTTCCTGTCTCTGACACTTTATCCAAAGCTGGTTTGGACGTGGTTGGATTCGACATCTCACCAAAGATGGTAGACCTTGCCCAGAGCAGGGTTGCAGGAACATTCACGGTCTCAGACATGCTGCGGTATCAGCCAGGAGGGACATTTGCTGGAGTCTTCATCATCTTTGCAACCTTGCAGCTTTCATACGCCGATTTCCATACGGCGGTCTATAAATTTGCAAACGTCCTGGATCCTGGAGGGATCCTCGCTCTGGGGCAGATGCCTGGCGACAATTATGTGAAGGACGAATCGCACTGGGATAGTACCAGGACCTACGTTGAGGACTACGATGCACCATTCATGGGAGAGCCACTGCCTACCTTCATGTTGAGTGCGCAAGGGCAGAGAGATTTCCTGACTTCCATGGGCTTAGAGATTATCAGTGAAACAATAGATGCTTTCCAGCCCGACAATCCGAAGTGTGATCCTGAAGACCAGCAGTATATCATTGCGAGGCGACCAACTGCCGAGTCACTAGCACTCCCCAGACCACTTCCTAAAGATGCGACCACAGGGGTCTGAAGTGCCTAGTAATGCTACAGCACACGGACTAGGGACAGAATCAGAGAACAATCCTCGGACATAGGATGGAGCTTGCACACGAGGAAAGATAGCCCCGCTGCTAACTATGTCTATTCGAGGTGTCAGAGTCCGGCACTTGGTATGTTACATGTGTCAATCTTTGTACGCTGCTTCTTGAGGAAAAATCGAAGAAAAATCGTCAGCATGCTCGCCAGTCAAGCGCCTCACTCCGAACCCCCTTCTTGTTCACGAGGAGTGCCACCTTCCCAAGCAAGTTAGACCTTGTAACGAAAGCAGACTCATACCGTAAATGAGCAAGTAGTTCTTAAGCGAGTCGTATAATAAGAATGCTAATCCACGGTGGGTATCCACGTTTGAGAGCCCCTTTTCATTCTCTGTCAATCTCACTTATGATTTGGTGTATAGTATCGAGTGCTTTACACTTACCTCTAATATCAAGGTATTCTGCTTAGGCTTTGACTTGACAAAATCCGCCTTGGTGCTTGTATCCAAGGGTAAAGTGCAGTGCCCGAGAAATAGAATAACAGAACTTGGAATTTTGGTCTTAGATGGGAAAAACAAGAAGACACGTCTTGCTTACTGTAACACTATGAACAAATTGAACTACTTCCCTCAATTTCTGCCCGTCAACAAGCGCAGAATGCACACAATAATTGGTATTTGATCGTAAATCTGGATCCGTATGCTCAATTTCTCTTAACCCCCCAAAGCTGTTCTCCATCTCCACGGACCGTTACAGATCTGTGACAATTTTGAATAGATGCATGAATGGTCTGAACAAAAGAAAATTGGAATGACGAGGTAGGAAAATTTTGAATGGTAAATTTCCGCAGCAGTATGAGACAGGTGATCGAATAATGGTAGCATCAACGTTTCAGGAAATCAAGGCGTTGTGGCTGTGATCATTCGCACCTGATGCTGGCAGTCCATCAACATCTCAATGCCCTCAGACCAGCCGCGGTCACGAACGATGTCGATGACCTTCTTCCCGGATTCAGGGTCAATGGTGTCCAAATCGATACCGTTGCCCTTGTCAATCAGCAACCGCAAAAGGTCGGGGCTGCCCTTCTCAATAGCTTGCATGACCGCGTTCCAGCCACGATACATCAAGTTGACGTCTGCACCGGCCTCAAGAAGCAGCCGGATCATCTCGGTGTCGTTGTTGACGAATTGCCGGATTGCTTTGACCAGCGGCAGATGCTCGCCGGGCTCATTTACATCGGCGCCTGCCTCGTTGAGGAGGAAAAGGACGATGGTTTTGTGATTCTCGCGCACCGCTGAGGTCAAGGGGGAAAAGACACCTCCGGATTTGTCCTCGACGTTGATACCGGCTTTGACCAGGAGCTTAACACTGTCAAGCTGTCCGGCTCGCACGGCCAGCTCCATGATGCCTCGTGTCACACGGCTTGGGTCTGGCAACTTCCGAAGTAGGCACCTCAAGATCGCCGGTCGTCCCACCGCCATGCACAGCGGCCAGTCTTCTCCTCTCAAGGTCACGTCCGCTCCATGTTTGAGGAGAATCTCCACGGATCGTAAACGGTTGTCACGAATCGCCGTCGTCAGGGGCGACTGGCCATGGGAATTGAGTGTGTTGACGTTGACTCCTTTCTCGATGAGATATACCAAAGCATCCACGTCGTTGTGTGCAACTGCCATCTCGATGATGCCGGGCGGATCATTGAGATTCGCGCCTCTACCGACAATCGGTGGAAGAAGATGGAATCTTCCGTGGGTAATGCATTTCCAGGCTGGGTATTCTGAGGCTGGGAGGTTGGGATCCGCATTGTGGTCCAAGAGAAGGTTCACAATATCTACTCTATTGTCACGTATCGCCGAGCATAGAGGTGTATAAAGCCCATCTTTTCTCTGATCTGGGCTTGCTCCAGCTGCAAGGAGGATTTGGATGGATTCAATGTTATTGATACTCGCGGCAAGCTCCATGATTCCAATTGCCATTTGTTGTTTAGCGCCGCGTAGAAGCAATAATTTCAGAGCTGGCGGGTAATATGTGGCTTGCCATAGGGGATGCTTGGGACCCGCAAGATTTGGTGATGCACCACTGTTGAGGAGGGCAGTGACAATGTCGATGCGTCGCGACATGATTGCTTCGATCAGGGGGGTCTTTCCATCAGCTGTCTTAGCACTGGTTAATGCACCCGCTTCGAGAATTGCATTAATAATCGCAATATCAACACCGCCCCGAATGCAAGCAATGAATGCAGTATCTCCATCCGTGAATAGGGTATTAACATCACTTCCGTGGCTCAACAAAAGTTCGACAATAGCCTTCTGTCCATTCTTCGCTGCCAACACAAGCGGAGACAGTCGAGCGGATGTCGCACCAAAATCTGGAAGTGCACCATGCTCCAGGAGAATCCGGGTAACATCGACTGATAAAGTTGCTGTGGCCAGCAGGATGATCGAGAATCCGTTCGGATCTGTGTGGTTGGCGTTCGCTCCATGAGACAAGAGGAGTTGTGTGCACTGGACATCTTCCTGCTGCACTGCCTGAGAGAGAAGATTCAATTGGTCTAGATCTTCACTCAGACCACCCTTTTCCAGTGCACACTTCAGGGTCTTGTGGTCTCTCCGACGAACCGCTGAGACAAGGTCGATTCCACGTGGCGAAGAAGGTGGCCGTAACTCGGTGACGATACTAGAACTGATTATAGGCTGAGCCGGTAATAGCTTGGGCTTTTCTGCTGTGAGTATCGACCTGCTCTCCTCCAGTGTTGTGCGTCGCGAGAAATCTTCTCGGTTACCATGATCGTTCACCTGGAGGACACCTAGACGATCCTGCGTAGCTGAATCCTCTCCATCTATGGAAAGCATTCTTTGTCGTTCACTCGCTGGCTGTCGCCGGATTGAACCGACTACCGATGAGTCATGGATACTATGGTCAGAGTGATGTAGGTTGGGCATGAATCGATCATCTGGTGGAATTCGTTGCGTTACTGGAGTCAACGATACATCGATCAGAGTCGGCTTGAGATTCTTGGGACCAAGACCGAGCGAGAGTTTCTCACTGAGCACCGTGGTAGAAGCACCGTCCTGCAAACTTTCGCTCAAGGCGAGCCAGCCGAATCTGATAGCATCGCAATCCTGGGCAAGGCACCTGCTCAATCTGGCGATTTCACCTTCAAACGACGACGTGCTGGAGGCACTGAACATCTTTCGCAAACCACTCTTCTTGCCATGCATAACCAACTTGATAAGAGTGAGATCCGATGAGATCAGATGCTGGGCAGTCCGATCCATACGAGATACAAGTTCCTCTACAACCTGGCGTGGTAGCTTGCCATCGTAGTCTGTCTCCCCAGATACTCCATCCTGAATTTCTCTTACAATCTTCCGCAACCGCAGAAACACGTCAACAAAACTTGCAAATGATGAGTTCTTGTGTAGGTTTTCCCCATTATATTCTGTCAAGTGTGCTGAGGTACTGTTGGCAAGATTCAGTATCCGCAGGCATGCATCCACCAGGATGGCCTCTGGGCCGAGTAGTTGCATGGCCTGCCTGAGGTCTTCTCTGTCTGTTGAGGTTGTGAATGAAAGAAAAGACAAGGCAAGATGGTACTGTGATGACGAAAAGCAGTATTGCTCAAGAGAACCTGATCACAGAACCTTGTGCACCAGAAACGACAGACCAGTGGCACAGACAAGAGGATGAAGAGACTGAGGGCGTGCACAACTGGCGTTCATCAGTGTTTCTATCTCTCACGATGATCTGCTCGCCATATTCTTTTGTTCCTGGGGTTCAAAATGACTGACAGCTAACAACTCCCTCAACAGTAGAATCCTTCCCCACCATGAAAGTCTAGTCCCCTCTAGACGCCGCCTTCCAACAGGGGTATGAGGTATCTAGTGATCGAGGCTGCGCGGAAGACACTGCAACTATCTCGAGCTTGATGCCGCAAGCTCCACATTTGTGTTCACGTTCTCCCCAATGGTTGTAATCCACATGAGGAGCAGCTTGATGATTGGACAATTGAACACTCCCCTGCTTTCCGAATTTCATTAGCGCAAGAACTTTTGATACACGTGTGCCACATGTGGCGAACCACAGAAGCCAACGGGCCGAGGAAATATATACTCCGTTTTGCAGGGTTCGTATGAACTGTATGCACTCTGGGAGGCTCGTGTGACCAGGGTTGGATTCACAAAGTTCATGGACGTTTTGGCGAGGTTGGAGACGTTAACGTTCACTTTGCTAGTTCTGAGATCTGTGTATCAATTGCAATCTCCAGCAATCATACCTCCAATGTGTTCCCTTTCTGGACCGCAATATCATGATCCCAAAAACCACAGCACGGAGTTCAAAATACCCAGATGGAGGTGAGAAACGGAGTGGAATTTCTGCCAGCGGTAGGTTGATGGTCGATAGTGTTGAATTTTCCTTCCAGTCTTCTCTCCTCTGCGCTATTTGATGCTGGCTATTAGCTGACAGCACTAGGGATGTCAGAGAACCAGGCTGTAGCTTGTACGAGGTAGATGTCCCTCAAGCATCATGACCAATGACGGGCAATTCTTGCCACGTTTTGAGTTCGAGACATGTCAAGCGGAACTCGGATGGTGGAAGCTAGAAGTGACATCTCGACCAGGAGTTTCGCAAGTGCGACCCATGACAAAAGGCTTTCCCCCAGAACATCGTGACAGGATTAGATCCTCGTGATCTGGAGTGACACGATAGTGATGAGCCATCATCCTTGCCCCACCTGGATGTCCAAGTTTTCCTTTGATGTAGGGAGCTGGTATGACGAGGATGGAGGATCTGTGGCTAGTGGTCATCATGGCACGGAACAGGATGCTGCTCCCGGAATTCTGGTTTGCTTCCGAGATAGTGTTCCAGAGTGATCGATTTCAGGGTAGAGACGAAGGAAGCGTGACAGAGCTATTGGCACTAAGCTCCCCGTTGTGAGTCAAGTTGATCTCGCCTACAGACCAGTTCGACCAAGCACGAGAGCCTCTGGCGAATGTCATCACAGAGGATACATACTGTGCATGGCTGGGGCGAGAGAGGCATTAAGGTATTCCGTAGCCAAAGTTGTACGAGGTACTATTTGTGCATATCCAGCCACCAACTGTCATTTCATATCATGAACCCTAAGTTAGTCTGTGGATTACTAGACTTCAACGGTGGTGGGGGCAGTTTTTCATCTCCACAAACTCGAACACCGCCTGTTGGGGGGCGAGATGGTGGCGAACCTGGTATCTGGCTGTCCAGGCGTTGAGATCGCCTCCAGGAAAGCACCGTTGTTAAGCTTGTGCATCGGTTTCCTCGTAATGATCGGCCTTTAGCCTCGTTGAGTGGATGGAACCCGTTGGTTCGTGATTTACTCGTAAGCTAATTTAGTGCAGCCCATTCAGTCGAGGCGAAAAAACGCAGCGCCCCTTGGCCTGCCCTCCCTTGCTCAGTGACCTTCTTGTCTCGGAGCCGAGATGTGTGAGCTCAAACAAAAGCAAGGAAGCTGAGCGGTTTTCAGAGCACATGGTGAAAAACTCCAAGGATATCCGGATGTCAGATTTTTCATGTCCACAGGGTGTCCGTACTCCATACGGATCAGTCACATCAGAGCAAGAAATTCTGACACCCGTCGAAGCGCAACGGTTGACATGCATCAGAAAGAGAGGTCCAACCAAGGTACCTGACTAGTGATAAGTGGAACTTCATGCCGCTTCCGCGTGCCTGGCAGCGGCAGGGACATCCGACAGGACGCATGATAACTTCGGAGCCAACGCTCACCCCCACTTTCCTCCCTGGTTAATTTTTCACGGCCAAAACTTGACATTTGAAGATAAAGACCGATGAAAGACCTTAATTCTCTTCGTTGGGCTGATACCGGTTGTTCCGAGGGCTGAGTAATTCTGTGCTCGAGATGGGTCCCTCAGTTTTTCCCGTCGAAGTTCTTTGTGGGTAACAATTTGGGCGAGAGGAAAAAGGACTAGGCACCATCCGGCGAAGGGCCGTGGCGCCCAACACTGACGGCTTTAGTAGCGTTGAAGGTGCCTCTTGATGTCCCATATCATTTTGATATCACGCATGTGGAGCAGTGAACATGACCTGTGGAGAACACATGTTACAGAGAGCGAGGGAGGGCGAGGGGCACCAACCTTGATTGAGTGATGTCTCAAGCCCCATCATGTAAAGGTTTAAGCGAACCTCATTCCGGTAAGTCGTTTGCAGGGGTGATAACTGGTATCGATGTTCATTCAGATGAGGCGTGCATTACCCAGATATTGTGGCTACACAAATCTGATATCATAAAACTGCGAAGTCACCGACTATCTCATAAGATCCACATCGATGTACTAGTCTGAGAGGATTTCCTTACGACAACGTTAATCAAAGGCACGCCGACGACAAGGATCATCAAGCCTTCCGGTTGAAAACTTCGGATACATCAAACTCAGTTCGGATCGCCACTCATAGAGCCACCACCCTAACAGTGCTTGCAACCTAACTCAACCACTGCACGAGGGAGATCACGATGATCACACTCGTACCTGCAGCTAATCTCATCCGAAGTCGTCCTCCAGAACATTTGAGAAGGTTGGTTGGCCATGCTTGGAACGTCTCCTCCTTGGAGGGTCGGGCCTAAAAGCCCATTTTGTCCGACCTTTTTCGTTCCGCTGGACATTTCTAATGCTCTGCCCGAGTACGCTGCGAATCTATGAGGGGTCAGAAACACCAGGTAAAAGCGATTGACGGAAGCAAATTACGGTACAGTAAACGAGTCTATGGCACCTCTTCGGAGATATGTGCTTTCCCAGCTTTCGTCGTCATTCGTTTGTCTGCAGGCCCTTCTGAAAAACCTCATTACTATGGGCAACTGGTATATCCAAGATGCGTAGCCTGATACACTAATAATACACTCGTCCTCAGTCGGAGTCTATCTACATCACCCAAAAAGCAGAACCAGCCAGCACCAACGATAGTCCCATCAGTGCTCTGTGGACTCCGCTGCTTGCATCGAGCATACCTGCGCCATTGCCAGTGTTGGCTGGAGCACCTGCAGAAGTGGTGGAAGATCCGGAGGCACTCGAACCTTGCGTTTGTGTGCCTGCTGGACCTGATGTGCCAGTGCTGGCAGAGCTAGAACCAGTGGTGGTCGCAGACCCGGTTGGGGCAGCGGAATCAGTAGCAGAACTGCTACTGCTACTGCCGCCCGAGTCGACCTCCTTGTTCTCCACCTGGAACCAGACCGCACTTATGGGCTCCCCCAAGTTCGCTGCTTCGGCGAAACCTGCCATATCAAACCCAATTCGGGCGCTGGCATCAGCGGGAGGGTCGATCGAGGAAAATTGAGTAGGGACAGTAAACCCTTCTGGCTGCAAGTACAACAAGATGTTATATCGGTGGGGGCCATCACCAGCGGGCGGCGTGGGTGGAATGTAAGTTGCACCAACGGCAGTTGTCGCATTTTCAGCTTGTGCGTCAAATGACAGCACTTCTGATGAGCCGAAGAGATTGGGCTGGAAATAGTGCAATAGCTGGACTCTCGGTTGGCCTGCAGTTGCCTCGACGTCTTGATCCACCATAAAAAGTATGTAAGTCGATTGTCTGGTGGCAGTAGCTTGCCCTAAAGCGACAGGTGTTTCAAGGATATCTATCTCAAACATTAACCAAAGCCGGCCAAATAACGATTCGATGGATTAACCCATACCTTCTCGATTTAACGTGACACCAGCAGGCTCGACACTGATTGAGGTGTTCTGGAAGTCTACCACCAATAATTGACTGACTTGAACAGGAAAATCGGGTGCTGTCTGGGCGTTGACAACGGCCGCCAGGGCGGGAAGTAGAAGAGTGCGTGAATACTTCATGTTGTTCAAAAAGGGGAGGCTGTCCAGCAGACCGTTGAGAAGTGAAGCGAGGGACGAGATGTAAATGTTGCGATTGACGAAGAATTACAGCCTAGACGACATTCCCAAATTCCTCAAGAAACAAGCAGTTCTCATTATTATATAAAAGTTTTTACATTCGGAGCCAAGCGTCCGTTGACCCTTTGAGGGGCGAAGTCAAGGTGGATGTGGTCCGCCCGACCTGGAGAAACTCGTACTCGTAAGCGCACAAACAAAATTGGGTGAGGAAAGCGACCATCACCATGGGCCACAGTCGTGAAAAGGCTTGTCAAGAGCGAGAGGGAAACAGTTCTGGTTTGCCATCACGTTCCGCGATGTCTCAGGAAGGGAAATGAGGTTAGTCTTGCTTGACAAGGCTATGCCAGGGGTCGATGGTTATTCCTGCCAAGACTTGGCCTGATGTGTGCTTCAAGTTCCCTGTCTAACATTATTTTCAGAAGTCATGCAATGTACCGAGTACTGAGTATGCATATGACAGTCACTGCTACTTCAGCAATGATTGACCAGCAAATTTTCCACGATCGACTCCTTTTAGCAACTGAGGAAAGACGTTGCGAGTTGGGTCTGGCCGACAAATGGCACTAGCGGACGTTCTAAAACGGGAGGTCGTTTCAGATCTGGATCAAGAGACAACTAGATTGCTTCAGCTTCACAACTTGAAACTGAATCAATAATCGTGCTCTCGGAGATTCCGTCGAGTATGCGATTCGGGACGACATATTTAGCAATGATGGCGAGCTCATCTGCGGCCTGGCTCACGGGCATTGGGCAGAAACACTGGACACTGTAGGTTCACTGCAGGTTCCCTGTCACTGTGTGAAGGCGGAAGGCAATTTTAAGTAGACTATTTGCCCAGCTCGGAGACAATTTGAGGCAGTCTTGAACGTTGGCCACGTTCATGAAATCTCTTGCAATGAGATATGAGAATATATCAAGAACAGCTTGACATGAGATGATGAACATTGAGGCGAACGACGAGGCCAAATTTAGGTTGGCACAAAACTACTCTAATCACGTGGCGCTTAACCATAATGAGACAGTCATTCCAATCCTCTCTAAAATTGGATGCATTTAGCCTCTTGATTTGACCACCGAGGCTATTTCCTGATCTGACCATGATCAAATCCAGGGACATCCGGCGCGACATCAGCTGGCATAGATCGATGTAGTCCCTTCGGAAATCTGCACATGACACAAGACTATGCCATTGTCGTTCTGAGTTGAGGTGTTTTGATCCTGGTTGCAATTACAGGAGGAGCCTTGGGCCAAATCGCTGAGACGAACAAAATGAAGGAAGAATTCATCGAGTTCGATCCCTCAATAACGGACAAGCGAACATTCTATTCCACGTTTCTATCCAACTACAACCCTCCGGTTCAAGCAATCAATCATTTTGCATCGATACCATGGACCAATAAGTGGTTAAGCAATCCAGCATATAAAATCATCCCATTTTGGTCCAGGCATGTCAAGACAAGTGGAGAGGACACGTTCTTCGGCAACACGATCAACACGACCGAAACCGTTCCACACTTCATCATGATTCAGCTAAAGGACTTTATCACACCAGAACCTAGTGATGCATCATCGGGTACCAAATTAGCTTCCGACGCCAACGCGCACAACAACAATCCACCCATCAATCGCGGACCTGCCGAACTAATATTTCTACTGCAATTCGGCGAACGGGGAGTGGACGGCCACCCTGGCGTCATCCATGGTGGCGTCATCTGCGCACTACTCGACGAGACAATGAGTGCGGTTATCTCACAGCATCTAGATAATGCGACGCCAAAACCTCGGGGCCAGATTTTCACCGCCAATCTGAACACGAGTTTCCGTGCCCCGGTCACAACTCCAGCTGCGGTCATACTCAAGTGCTGGCTTGTCAGGAGAGATAAACGTAAGTGGTTGACTAAAGGCCAGATCGAGGACGAAAGCGGCAGGGTGCTTGCCGAGGCGAATGCGATATGGGTTCTCGTGCCGGAGAATAAAATCTGAGATGGAGAAGTAGATGTTTGATTGACGGAAGAGATTTTAGGTTAAATATCAGCAATAAAGAGTTGGGGGACGATATTTCACATACATGGACTAGACATCAATCGCAGATATGCACTACTTTGAAGAGTGGCAGATGAGCCATTTGATTCTCCTCCAAAGTCAGGAGCATTTACAAAGTAATCATTTGGCATACAACCAAGTCCTTTGTCCAACCTCTGGAATTCATAAAAAGCCACTATATCGTTAGTATTATCAATACAGTCCCAAGAGGTATCATTTCGCAGACAGCGCAGAATATCCATGGCAGCATACTTGACAGCCATTTCACGTGATGAGGCTGATGCCCCCTGGCTCGCTGCAGATTGCTTGTGAACTTCGAGTATGGATTAAGGGGTGATGGAGAGAAACCAAGTCTTTCGATTATATGACGACACGTGGCAACGCAGGCCCATACAAATACACCATCCCCGAAAGACGGAACGTCCGAGAGAAGGTCCGGGGCACAAAAGATGCCGGCCTGACACGAGGCGGATGTAGGTCCGGCTACATCAGTCCCTTCAAAAATCTCTCGTCTCGGAAGCGGTATATTGTCTATGATTTCGCCCACTTATAGCTACTCATCTAGTAGCATATGAAGGTGAAACCTTGAGTTGAGGTTATGGTGCATACTATTCGATAAATCCATTTGACACCAACGCGCAGTAGTAGATAATCTTGCAGACTTTACACCCAACATGCCTGGATTTACGAGCACTAGTGAGAAGACTGCAGTCGGACCTCACCTGAGACTTCGCATCGTCATATGCGGTGCTGGACTGGGAGGGCTAGGAGCAGCCATAGGGCTCGCCAGGAAAGGACACGAGGTGGTGGTACTGGAAGGTGCATCCCAACTATCAGAGGTTGGAGCCGGCATCCAAATTCCACCGAACAGTATGCGTGTCCTAGATGCCTATGGACTGAGTAAAAGACTGCAGCAATGGGTTGAAAGGCCGAGAAACATTGCGTTGAGAAGATATGCGACTGGACAAATTCTGGGTGTGACACCACTTCACCCGCGACTTACCGAGACATACGGATTTCCGTACCTGCTCATTCACAGAGCCGATTATCAGCGAATACTTCACGAAGAAGCAAAGTCCCTGGGCGTCGAGGTACAAATGTCGACCCGTGTCGTTTCTGTCAACACCGAGGTGCCTCTTGTTACAACTGAAACCGGACAGGAATTCGCCGCGGATGTCATTGTTGGGGCGGATGGCATAAGATCGAGAGTTCGGGAGTCTGTCATTCCAGATCAAGTGATAGAACCCAGCAGTTCCTCAAATTGCGCATTTCGAGCGACCGTGACGAGCGATGATATGCTCTCAGATCCTGAGGTGGCCCACCTTATGTCAGATGTCAATGCGAACAGCTGGATAGGCCATAGGAGGCATGTCATGGCTTATCCTATCCGACAAGGCGCCATGTATAATCTCGTCATGTCACATCCCGGCCAGGCGGCCCCTGGGAAATGGAATGAACCTGGTAATCTCGACGAAATGAAAGCAACATATGACGATTTTGACCCTGTTCTTAAAAGGGTGCTGGGCAAGGTCAAGGGCTGTCTGAAATGGAAACTGGCCGATTTACCGCCTCTGACAAACTGGGTCAGCAAATCTGGCCGAGTAGTGCTGATTGGCGATGCTGCTCATGCCATGGTACCCTACCTGGCACAAGGAGCAAGCATGGCCATCGAGGACGGTGCAGCACTTGCAGAATGCCTGAGTCGTGTTCAATCTCAGGACCAGATCTCACAGTACCTCGGTTTATTCGAGACGGTCAGGAAATCTCGATGTGAGCGCATTCAAGAATGTTCGAGACTCAATGGAGAGCGTTGGCACATGCCAGATGGTCCTGAGCAGGAAGCGAGAGACAGAGCACTGGGAAAGGACCACATGTCGGAAGAGGCTACAGCAACAAACGGAGAGGACTCCCATCCAAATCTGTGGTCAGACAAGGGCTTCCAACCATGGTTATTTGGCTACGATGTGTTCACGGAGACGTCTCAAGCCCTCGATAGGGCTGAGCAGAGCAAGTTTGGACAGTGAAGGTCAGACGACGGTGTTTTGCAAATTAAATTCTCCATGGGTGCATGTGCTTGGTATATCATAACCTCAGATTGTAGCAAGGCGTACTCTCATCAGGAGCGTATGCGCTGACCTCGAGCATGGCATAAGTTTCGGATCAAATCCCTCGTCGGCCTGGTTTTCGTGCTCTTGCCCGGCCACGACCGACCTAACTAACTAACGCCAAGCACCACTTCGTGGGAACAACCACTTTGTGGGACGCGTTTCACAACACCACGTTTTATCCACTTTATGAAACTTTGACATCTATTTACGTAACAACCACTCAATCAAATCACTCGCTCTCAATGGATCCTGCAACTAGAGCTGTCGCTCTTTATGAGAGTGGAAAATGCAAGTCGCTTTATATCGCCGCTAAAGCGATAGGCGCGTCAAGAAGTTTAGTGTACCGACGATTTAATGGAATGCCTCCACGGAATGAATCTACTTATGAGTACGCTAGGCTCACTCAATTATAAGAAAGGGTTCTCGTTTAATATATTCTAGACCTATAGGCGCAATACTAGCCACTAAATATTACTAAAATTAATTAAATAGTCGAGGTATTAGCGTGTTAAAGAGAGCCCTCTATATCATTTAGTGTTAATTGGGTAGAGCGATTTTTAAAACGCTATGAATCACTCAAAACTAGACGGAATCGCTTATTTAAAAAGGCTAGGATAGTCGCCTTAATCTCGCAAATACTCTAAGGGTAGTATATTTACGTAAATGAGGTAATTTTGCGATATAATGTTAAGTGCTAGGACATTTACAATATGAATGAGATTAGCTATTAAATAAGCTATTTATAAAAGGAGTAAGTAGTTTATTCTCGCTCTTTAGGCGCGCTACTATTAATGGCTAGTAGCTCTATAGGATAGGTCTCTATTCTAGAGTATATATCTACTATTAGCGACACGTTAAATCTACTTATTATTCATCGCGATACGACATTTAATAAACCACTCGATGTGTAATTTCCTAATACTATTGAGGCACTAAACTAGTGGTACGACTTTATAATAAAGGGGTAAACTAATAATGAGTATATAATCGAGTAGTTACGAGAGATATTTTTACTAGAGACTCGTCGTTGTCGACCTAAGGAGAATCGCTTATATTGGCGAGTTCTTATTATTGATGAATATCCAATATACGTAATAGGCGATTTCCTTTATAAATGCCTAATAAATTAAGTGGTAGTAGTGTATTTACTCCCTTATACCTTACACCTTTATTAATCTTGCGATCTCGATCCATTTAGTTAACTTAAGGCCTATTACTTATAGCATTTATGGAGCTATATCGCTATAGAATTTACGTAAGTTACGAGAGCGTAGTTTAACGCTCTTTACTATAAGGTACGAGAGAATGCGATGACGAGCAAGTTTATTACTATAGGTTAGCGGAGGACTAGCTTATAGCCATATAACCCTACTAGAGTGCTTTAAAGTCGTGAAATGCGCAATTATAGGCAGGTATCATCTCAATTAATGCCTCCTCCTACTGTTACTCAATACACGCCAACCGAGAGGTATGAAGTTATAGTAATTAGCGAGACTTTAATAGCTAAAACTACTCGCTTAGGTAAGGTTTTAGTGCGTTAAATACTAAAGGCCTATAAAAAGGAGAACTTCGTCTATCGTGTATTAGCTATAGAGCTCAAAATAGCTCGTAAAAGGACCCTAGATAAGGAGGAGATATCTATAGTTAAGAGACTTAAAAAATAGGATAAGAAAAGGTCCTGGGTAGTAAAAGAGGTCATGATTGAGCGTGGTATTACTACCGATGAGGCGAATATCATTCTGGTCGCACAACCCGATCGATCATTAATCTATCATGTGGAATGAGGGCTTAATTACTAGTAGAATGCCTATCTAATTCATCAAATCGGCATCATTTAGTTTGCGTTGACAGGACTTGATTAAATGGCTAATTAATACATTTGCGGCACATGATAAACGCGTCCCACAAAGTGGTTGTTCCCACGAAGTGGTGCTTGGCGTTAGTCAATCAGAACGCTTTCCGGAGAGTGGCCCGTAAGCAAGAATCTACCCCCTTACAATCTAGGTGGATTAGCTAAGAACCCTCTGCTCGGAAGGCCTTCCGAAAGACGACCACGCCACCTCCCCCGCACTCAACTGTCACTCAAGTCCGAGTCGGATGTCGCACCGAACACCAAAAACGAATTTTGTTCAAGAGATCAGTTCACAGAACATCTCCTAACACTTTGTGTATACCCAGTCATAACAGGCATTGATTTGAACTATTCAAAGAAAAAAATTTATCCTAGTCTTATAAAGTCATGTCGTGGGAAAGACTCATACGGTTCCAGGACGAGTCAGGCCAGCAGAGCTTTGGCGAGCCTGTTATCAAAGATGCCGATGAATTGGAATCGTTATTAGCGAAGGGAGAGCTGTTCGCAAACGTGTTCAAAGGCAGCGATCCGTTCAGCCTGGAAGCCACGGGCCAGAAGACAAAGGTTGTGAAGCTGCTGGGGATCTTAAACCCAACAGATGTCCCCATCGTTAAATGCGTGGGTTTGAATTATATGAAGCACAGTGAGTTCCATGTCCACTGAGAGGTGCCGAGTGAGCAGCCTTGGGCACCAGGCTGATCAAGTAAATAGTCCAGGAAGCAGGTCGAAAACCACCGCCATACCCATCGATTTTCATCAAGTCCAGAACTTCCATCGCCTCCCACGATGAAGATATCCCGATCCCGAAATTGGCACAAGACGACCAGTGCGATTACGAAGGAGAACTCAGCATTGTGATCGGCAAGACAGGCAAGAACATTGCGAAAGCTGATGTCCTCAGCCACATCGCCGGCTATGTCACTTCGAACGACGTTTCGGCCCGCAAATGGCAACGAGACCCAGCATATGCGGGCGGGGTGCCTCAATTCTGCTTCAGCAAAGGGTTCGACAAGTACGCTCCAGTTGGCCCGATGCTCGTGTCTCCTAAAGTGGTCGGAAGCGCGAGTGGCCTGCGTCTGCAGACGTTTGTCAACGGTGAGAGCCGACAGGATACCCGTACCGATGATTTGATCTTCAATGTGGAGGAGATCATTTCATTTATCAGCCAGGGCTCGACTCTGGAGAAAGGAACAGTGATCATGACGGGTACGCCTTCTGGTGTCGCCATGGGCATGTCCCCTCCGCAATATTTGAAGGATGGGGATGTGGTCGAGGTCAAGATCGAGCATCTTGGGAGTGTAAAGAACAAGATGGTGTTCGAGTAGTTGTGGGGTCACAGTTGGGCTGGCATATTCTAGAGGATGTAGAGATGGTCAGGAAGAATAGACTCCAATCGAATTGGACAAGTGGGAGTTTCAATGTGAAAAGCAACATGTCACTTCGCTTGTCAGAAGAAATGTTTAGGCACAACATCTATGTTGTAATTATTCAAAACACTCGCTGCTATTCACCATCAAAACCCAGGCATCGTGGCGAAACACTTAAGACCCTCCCGACTTTCCTGTGTCTTGTCGCGACTGGCGAAGAAGACCACCTGAGGGGGGAAGAGTTGCAACCTATCCCACTGCCATTAGTCCACCTCAGTCTTCTGAACTGAGCGAGACACCACACTTACCCGTCATCTATCAGGGACGTCCGTATCATGTAATGCGTGCCACCGTGCCTCATCGGGATAGTCCATAGCGTACAGCCACAGTCACCACAGAAGACTTTGTGTTTATCGGACCCGCTGGTCGTGTCCTTCAGGATGTAGGTCTTCATCGCAGTCTTGGAGTCCTTCACTTGAACTTGGTCGAATTTGAATTTCGCTACCTAGTTATGCTCCTACTGTTAGACATGCACTGGTACCATTTGAAATGGCGGAGGTGCAGGGATCGTGACAGATGCGCACATATTGATACGAGGCTCCAGCATTCTTAGCACAGTGAGTACAGAAGCATTGGAGGACATTCTCTGGCTGGCCTTGTATATCGAAGGTTATGGCTTCACAGAGGCACGATCCTTTGACGGTAGCCATAGTCGATGCTGGTGGTGTGTTGGTCAAAAATTGGAATCGATGCTGCAGAGGTTGTCAGAAGTCGTAACATTCATTGGCTGCCATTGCATACAAGGCGCAATCCTGAAGCGACTAGAGCCATCTTCCATTCAATCAGTTAACTGGAACATCATCCGAGCCCACGAGATATTCCGTTCCATCTGCGTGCCAGTGTGGTTGTACAGATTGACTGAGCTCGGATGCCTCCGAGCCCGCCACCCGAGACCCCTCTCGGTCGACTATCCGGGATGGACGTACACTTCAGTTCCCGAGATGACCTCAAACATGCAAGACGAAAGGTCTTAACTCCATGTCTGAAATTCATCCTCGAGGCGAGGTTTCTGGATATAGTTACCAAAAGGCACAATTCGAGGTTTTGCGCACCCGTACCACAACCAGTTCCTGCCGACGTGCATAGAGTGACAAACGGATAAAGTCATTCCGCCTGAGCTCACCATTTCGAAGATGGCGACTGAAACAGCAACGACCACAACAACTGCGGCCAAAGCGACATCGTTTGACCAAGAAACGCCTAAGGCTGCTGCATTCTATAGTGGCCTACGGGAAAAGAACGCTGGCCCACTATGGACGGTTCTCGACAAATTGGTGCCCCCAAAGCCCAACCCAGAAAGTGTTCCGAACATATGGCGGTATTCAGAAATGCGACCATCACTAATGGAAGCCGGAAAACTCGTGACGGCAGAAGAAGCCGAACGTAGAGTGCTGATGCTGGTCAACCCGACTCTAGAAGCCCCATATACCACCGAGTCGATATATGCAGGATTGCAGCTCATTTTGCCAAATGAGACGGCTCCGGCCCATCGGCATGTAGCCTTTGCCTTGCGCTTCATTATCGAGGGATCGGGAGGATTCACGGCGGTCGAGGGAGAAAAGATGATGATGGAAAGGGGAGATGTGATCCTCACACCAAGCTGGACGTGGCACGATCACGGGAACGAAGGGAACAGCCCGGTGATCTGGCTGGACGGACTTGACCTACCACTGTTTAGGTTTCTACCTCTGAATTTCGCGGATCAGTATCCTGAGAAACGATACCCTAGCACGCTGAGCACCAACAGCAAGTCACAGTTTCCATGGGCGCCGGTGGAGAAACGCTTGAAGGGCGCAGAAGGGCCATATGCTGTTTATCACTATGTGACTGATGATGGAAAAGCCCTTTCTGCGACCCTGGGGGCTCAAGCGGAACGTGTTGCGGCAGGGACCACGTCACCAACTGTTCAGGAGACTGGTTCGTTCGTCTATCATGTCGTCGAAGGAGAGGGATATTCCACCATTCTGTCGCCAGGAGATAAGAGCCCAAAGGACATCAGATGGACTGGAAAAGACACCTTTGCTATTCCTGCATGGAGTCAGATCTCGCATACGGCCACATCTAACACGGATGTGTTTCTGTTTGCCATCAACGATCGTCCCATGGTGACAGCATTGGGCTTGAGGAGACAGGCATAAAAGTAATCTCTTCAGCTCTTATCTCGAGGCGTACGCGGGACTTGAATTAAAGGGGGCGCTCGAATTATGATCCTCAAGCGTTGTGAATGATTTTGGTCTTTTGGTTTTTGACTACGAATGCCAGTGTCATTTCGGTCGAGATAACAATGAGATTTGTATGAGCAGATTGAACGTACGCCGATCCTTGTAGTGCCATACTGCAGATATCGAATCTGGGCGTCAGGTTTGATAGCTGACACATACCTGTTTGAAACCATCCTCGGCGCCCCGTCCAACATGCTTTGCCATGTCTATCGCAAGCCTTGGGCAAGAAGACATGTCAACAAACTTCAATGACTCGGAACTCAATCGGACGCGAGTGGGAAGCGAAAGGCGGGGGCTAAAATCTCCTGATTAGGGAACGTCGAAACTCTGCCACGCGTGTCCTTTTCATCATGAACCCATCGTGTGTGATTGATCGCCCAGAGGGCCCCAGCCCACAGTGCGAGTGTGTCCAATAATTGCATTTCAATTACAGAGAGGAAAGGAAAGCCTAGATAGTTGACATCCCTTATCTCTTAGCCTTGCCCCTCCGGCTCCCCTCGGCTGGACATGCCGGTCTGGGATGGCGGGAGATGTTGGGCTCGTAGTGGGCCTGAGGTACCAGCGACATCCACTGGACTGGTAATGTTGATGAAAGTACCTAGGCGAAGGTAGCACAAGATCGAGAGGAGAGGAGAAAGGGCGTGCGGCCGGAATTGGAAAGAGAGAAATGATGATCAAGGCCCAATCACAAGCGTTGGCTAGGCCAAACTCTAGGAAGACGACGTATCAAGACAATATTGCATGCGACGGAGATGAGGACTTGTCTCGTGAAATATGATATATCTCGGTTGTGATGCCCAGCTCCCTCTCGAATCTGAAATCTATCACTTTGCTCCACTACGTCCCAAGATCTGGTGATACATACGCCATCATTCTCCAACATCCACTTGATTAATTTGGTTGTCATCCGTGGTTGCGGGAAGAACCTGATCTAATCGAAAACATGCCTCCCGGTAGGACACTTGAATATCCCAAGACTGCGGTTAACAAGGTTAACCGATATAATGTACGAGGTAAGTGTCCACAATGACATGACATAACCATGAACGAGCAAGGAAGACAGAAGGACCCAGGAACCGATAGGTCGGGCTTTTTGATTATTGAAATAGTAAGGCTGACGCCAGACACTGGACAGCCAATTACGATCTTGAGACGATCCACAGCATTATCAACTCGAGCACAGTATTGAATGTGTCTTTCAACACGCCAGACCCAAACAACCCATTCCCCATAACGCTGCCCATGGTCGGGCTGGCAGCCAGCTTTGACCATCCGTCTGCATCGCTGGGGGAGCCGCTTGACATTTACGTCCATGGCTACGTCAGCAGTCGATTGATGAACCACTCGCGTCCCAGCAATAGTGCCAATGGTGCCGACGCAACTGCCACGGCTGAATATAAAGGCTTGCCCGTCACGATATCAGCCACCAAGGTGGACGGCCTGGTTCTGACCCTGTCACCGTACACCCACGACATCAACTACCGCTCCGTCGCGCTGTTTGGATACGCCAACGTGGTGACCAATGAAGAAGAGAAACTCTGGGCCATGGAGGAGATCACCAACAGCGTGGTCCGCGATCGCTGGCGACACACTCGAGTCCCGCCCGACGGCGCGGAGATGCAGAGCACGAGTATCCTCAAGGTCTCGGTCGTGGGAGGAAGTGGCAAGATCCGCGTCGGCGGGCCGCGGGACGAACTGAAAGATTCGAACCGCGAAGACTTGAAGGACCAGACTTGGATTGGCGTCATCCCCGTCTATGAGCATTTCGGAGAGCCCGTGCCGGGCAAAGTGAACCGTGTGAAGGATGTTCCTGCACATGTGGCCGATTTCGCAACGGGCTCCACAAACATCAATGAGAAGTACGTGGCTGATGCCATTGCAGATACTTCGCAGGACGTTTGAGTTGTTTGGGGCGTGATTATGGCCCATGTGCCGGTGATTTTCTCTCTTTCTTTTGCTGTTCTGTCGCGGGTGGGTCGATGACCTGATATAATCCATTCTCAATGAGACGAATTGTTTCCAACATGAAATCTTGGTCGTTCGAAATGCCGGTGATCAAATCTGAATGGTTCGTTATGTGATTCGGGTTCTTCATCATGGATCCGGCTCTTACGAAGCATCAAGATATACATGCAGATGACCAAGATGCCAAAGGAAAACGCAAACACCCTGCCACTGAATCTCATTTTGCCGGACTATCCGAGAAAAATCACCTAAGGATATGATTGTTCTATACCGTGTAAAAGACCAGATGTGTTGATACATATGAATCAATTGTAAAGAATGCCTCAAGGTCAAAGCGCTGAGGAACATTTCCGGCGTTGACTCCACGAAGCAAGGGGCATCCGTATCCGTGGACGTGAGGGCTCCTCGAAGGGAGAATAAAATTTGTAGCTCAAGAGTTCAAAATCTCCAAGAATCCCCTCCCATCGAGAGACCCATCTCGCCATGTCACACAGGGATGACTGCAGATTAAAAAAGCAGCATTCGAGTAACGTTGCGCGGGCGTTTTGGAAACAGTTCGGTCCTCGTACAGCGGCGTCCGCCTGTATCTGGTCACACAGAGGTGAACTGCAATTCCCGCTCTGATGGGTTGACCGGAGCAACGGGCGCCAGATCGCATTGGTATTTTTCGGTTTCTGTTGTCTGTGTGAGAGGGGACGCCAAATGTTTCATTCTGTCATCGAGGGCGCAGCCTGAGCGTGTTTCCGACCGTAGTACACCATCCTTCGTAGGTAGCCGTACGGCTCGAGGGTTTTAAATCCCTGCTGGGCCATTGTTTTGAGCGGGATGATGCCTGCTTTCCCTTTGCCCATGGAAGGTGAAGATCTTCAATGCATGGCAATGTCGGGATATAGAGATGATCGATCCACTTGCGATGATGAACGGTACCCAACGCGAGGCTGGCTCGTAAAAGAAATCCCCATACTGCAACGCACTGGCGGTCTCCAGAGGGACAACGATACTTCTTCAAAGCTCCGCATATCTCTTCTTGAACACGGCTTATTTTGTGCTGACAATGCCATCCTCTGAATCCTACTCTGTACACCTTCTTTCCATCGACCCTTGTGTCTCTTCCCTCGTTTAATTCCCAGCTTTCTTACTTTGGTACCTGCAGCTCGGTCTCGCAATAGTTGAGGACCTCCGACGACCAGAGGATAGATCATCGCCACCTTGAGTTCGATCCTGCACGGACGATATATTGCATGACTGGCCCAAACCTTCACTCATCACCTTCACTTCCACCCAGGGCCAACATCGGCACATCAGCTGACAAACTCGATGTGTTTTAACTTAGGCGTCTGACGAGCATCAGTCTTCATAAACGCTGGGATCAAGATTGCCTCTCGGGTAGCAAACTCATCGATGCTGTCTTGCTGTCAACTGGCATTCGTCACCATGGACCGAGTAAGAGCTGGTCGAAAATGGCTCAAGAGAAAGATACAACCATACTACACTGTCCCACAGAAAGAGAGGAAGCTTGAGATCGTAAGCAGGGACTTACATTGGTATTGACAATATCGACACAAATTGACCGAGGTACAGGGCCCTCCCACTGATTTTCGGCGCGAGAATATCACCCTGGGCAAAGATGTGGATGGGTAAGAAGACACGAATCCTCGCTGCGCTCCTTCTAGACAGACTTGCTGACCTCATGGCTCTAGAAATGCTGTTTTGATCGAGCAGGCTCGAGAGGACGCCCAACGAATGCATGCAGCTACGAAGATACAAACCCTGCCTCCGAGCCATCAGTGAACAGAGATAGAGACAACGCTCAGGAGCCATCTTTCATGAAGAGGGTTGGGTCGATATCCGCATCATGGTCAAATTTGTGACGTGTGCATGAAGAATAAATATGATCTGAGTCGTAAGCACTCTCTCAGAGTCCCCCAGTAGGATACTCAATCAATAATGAAGGTCGGCACATCATTGAGTCTTGACTGTTTCTCTTTTTCCCTCTGGAGCTCCCTCTCCCGTCTTCGTTTCATGAAGTCACTGCCGAGGGCTTGAGGCTTACGCTTCGGCCTCATGCTACTGTCGTCCGCTCTCTTCTTGCCCAATACCTTGTCACTATCGTTTGCACTTGGCATCTCATCATCAATCACGTTATCGGCTTCGCCTGGTATCATGTCATCAATCGTGTTGTCGTTGTCGTCGTCTCGTAGCTCATTGTCAATGTCTTGAATTGAAGCCTTTGGGGGAGGGGCCCTGCCATATCCCAAGCCTGCTCTTGTGCTGCTCGACATCTTCTCCAGACCGATCAACGACCGCTTTGGCTGACGGCTCTGTGCCATGAGAGGAGCAAGGCTGGTCCCCGAGAACAGGTCGCCGACTTTATCGTCATCTTGTTCTGTAGAACCCTTTCCCATGATTGTATCCAAGGTGTCATTCTGTTTCTTGTGAAGAATTTCACCTTGTAGTCTCCGCTTTGCCTCGTTTGACATGGGGGAAGTGGGTTCAGGAAGGTTCTTGGGTGCGGTACGAGCCTCTCGCATCAGTCTCTTATACTCGGCGCGGTGGAGGTGAGCAGTGTACGATTGGGCAATGGACTGGAATTCATCCTCGACCATGATGAAGATATCGTCGCCATCGTAGCCATCTCGCATGCGTTCAACAGACGGAGGTCCGCGGACCGGGGATGTCGAAGGAGTTCTGGTAGATCGTGAGGCCATCTTGGGACTTGTGTTTATTCTGCGTCCGCGATTTGAGGGCAGAAGGTCATTATCGTCTTCACCTGGATCGTGCGAAGCCTGCTTTGGGCGCACTGATGGGCTTGGTCGACTTGTCTTCGCTGCCGGTTCATCACTCACAGCCCAAGGTAATTTGCGAGCCATTATGTGTTGATGTGCACCTCACCAGATCAGATAACAGGGAGCATGTCTACCTTGGTGATGGAGTATCACCAGCAAAGATGTCCGCATGTCTTCCGTGAAGTCGCAGGTGCAACAAATTGGCTGCCTGGCAATCGGATAGGTGCAGCGAAGGCAGTGATTGCTAGCACCCGAGGAGAGGAATTAGATGATTAAATGTTTGGATAAACACCTATTGGACCCCAACTCATCCATTTTGTATAAAATGATTTTGCAGACTAAGAAATCGGATCCCAAACATGTTCTTAAAGAACAGACTACGCGTTTACTTCTCTGTCAAGAAAACAGCTTTAAAATGTAGTGATTTTCTATGCTATGCGATCGCTACTTATGCTGAAAATCATGAACCTTGGGTATCATATCCATTAAACTCCTCATCCATGCATGACTCGTAAAGCACACCACCGATGCTGAGGTTCAAATAAAAGTAAAGGGTCGCTCCCTGAATCCAGGAATCTAGTACACGCGTCTGTAGTCTTGATCCGGTCTATAAACTGCCCTGGTGAATTTGCGGTTGAGTTGAGCACAGGCATCATCGATGTGGACGTGGCGAAGGGGTTTGCACTGTCGCTCCACCTCTTCGTCGCTTGCCACCTAGACTTCACCAGGTTTCTTCGAATTGCAACTAACAATTTTGACCTTGTCCGCAGTAAACTCTTGACCACCGTCGCTCTTGAACCTCACGTCCTTGACCAGAAATGTCCAGACATCATCGCAGAACCGGTAAGTCTCGAGGTGACCCTGTAAATGTCAGTCAGCTCAGAGCTGAGGCTGAGTTCGGTGTATCTGACCTTGAAAGTGAGTCTTGATTTGACCTTCTCAGCCAGTGTCTCTGCAATCGCGCGGTCGAAGTTGCTGAGGATCTTCATGGCCAATTGTGGCTCGATGCGTCCATCGTTGATCAGGTCATCGATCGTGTCAATGAGCGCTTCTCCGATGCTGTGGAATAAGTGTCAATGACGAACCTGTCGTGGCCAACATGGCGTGTCCCGTCAAAACCTACCTGCTTCCTCGGTAAAGCTCGTAGAACTGTTGCGGAGCAGCAGCCATGGTGTGCTTTTGATGTCCAGTGTGAGTTGGCGAGAGGCGTCCGGCGCTTTCTAGCACTGACAGGCAGATGTCTCGCGGGAGACAAGGAAGGACAAAGGTATCAATGAGGGTGAGTCTGCAACTTCACTGATTAATTGTAAGATATTGGTATGGTAGGCAGGGAGGGGCGCAGGTGACAGGCAGTGGAAGTGGAAGTGAAATGACTAAGGAAATTTATCCGAGGGGCGGGATTAAACTCCGAGTGGTAGGAGGTAAAATCCGGAATACCTCGAGCACTTTCACAGATTGATGGTGACGGCAATCATTTAGGTACTAGATAGTGAGTACTGAGATATTTAAGTCCATAAGTGGTCGTTCAACTTTACGTAGCTGGTCCCGACAGCGAGCTTGAAGCTTCTACCAACATGTCACTCCTGGCAAAGAGTGTTGTGCACTTGCGTGATATCTGGAAAGTCACCTCCAAGCTCCAGGCGAACCGTTTGAGCTCCACGATGAGTCAAGTCAAAGGACAGCAGCAGGCGAAGACATCGAAAGAGACCCACGAACAAGGCCAACAGCCGGACAAAACCCCGAAGAAACCAAAGACCGTGGCTGAGCTCGATCAAGAAATGCGTTCTGCCATGGAAGGGTTAGCAGGTGATGGGGGCGAGGCTGGATTGGAACTTGAGGATGGAAAAGCTGTATCAATGAAACGTGGTGTTAGGGAGAATATGTTCAGATACATTTGATCCAATTTGAACCGACTTCGACCTATTTTGAGCGCTGGAGGTGTTCAATTAACCATTAACTCCGGGGGTATCATGCCGCCAACACAAATATCTCAAGCAAGTCGAGCACCACGTCGGTCCTCGACACTGGTCATGGTCAACCTGGCTTATGCCTCCTGTGCCTCGTACAGGGCGTTGATCTCCTTCACAAGCGCGTCGACCGAACTACCGCCAGGACAATCATACCACTTGCCACCATCTCGAATACATCGAACCTTACCAGCTAGCCTGATGGTGCAGCTCTTGGTGACGTTGTTCTGCTGGCTTCTTAACACACTTGCTCGAAGCAAATCAATTCCTTCGCCCTCATCACTGATGCAAGAGTTCAGTTTTTGGAAATCGATCCCGTGTTCCATTGCACAGCCTTCAACGAAATCTCGCTGAGGAATGTTGTGATAGTCGGACGTCAAGCAGTTGGTGAAGCCGAGATATATCTTGGGGTCGGGATAAATCTTCGCGGCGCACAGTTCAATGATATTTCCCAAGCACTCGGCGGGTCCATGCATACAAGTAACCGCGTCAGACTTGTGATCGATACTTGGGAGGGGTTAGCCAGAGGTCTTGTATAAAATCATGTAGACCTACCGTCCAATATAGCTAAGTGTGAAATTGACTCGATCGTTGACCTTTTCCATCGTTGGCAAGATGAGTTCGCGCAGACAGTCTTTGAAGTCTGGACATCTGCTCATTCCATGAGATTCAAGCTCAACCTTGGGTCTCTCCATCTCTTTAATGATTTCGGAATGCAGTGTCTGTCCGCATCCTGGAGTATAATGGTGGTTTGAGACAAATGTAGAGCGAAAGATCGTTAGGAGGGCAAATATGGTGAGAATTGCAGGCAAGAATCTTTTGTACATGTACTCTCTCGTAGAGAACGTTGTCTCGTTTGGCCTCGCAGTCTCGATGTGGATCTGCGAGTGGTATGGAAGCGCCTTATCGTCCACCATTGGCGCAGTTGCAGGCTGCTCTGAAGACATGATGGAGTACCAGGTGAGATTATTGAGGCTAGCCTTCAAAGCACAGAGTATTGTACTTGGTTGGGTGAAAGTGATCAATTGCTCGTGATACTGATGTTATCCGCCTGGAACCGGATGAGAGCACAATTCTGGACGTGTGGTGACTTTCGGATTGAAGGTGCTGGCCCTGAAATCAGAACGACACCAGGCTTGGCGGGATGACGCGACTTCGGGGTCGTTGGGAAGAGTGCTTAAAGCCCCGAGGAGGGTCGAGGGGTGCGCATTCCCCTAGACTTAGAGAGGCTTAGGCATCAAGAGCCCCGAAGCAATTGGTTTCCGGGTATGAGGGCCGCATGATTTTTCTAACCATTGACCTTTTTCCGTCATCCTTCACAGCTTGGGGAGCTTCATTGCCGAGTAGGCACTCGTATTCGTACTTTGTTGACGAAGCTCGCTCTTGCACATCTGCTCGATAATGAAGCCCCCAACCAACAATGGGTACTTAGTTATGTACTTATTCTCTCCACGCTTGTCATTGTGGCCTGACAGTGTCAAGTCCGAAACTCTCGGTCAATTCACACTGGGTCCCGTTGACTTGAAGGTCTCAGCTTGCCTCATGGTTGGATTGAGATGGCTTCTGCAAGCCGTGCTTTTTCTCATCTTACCTGTTCTGTCTACGGCGAGTCTGTTGTATATCCCAAGAAATTGCAAAAGGACAATCGCCCTAAGATGAGTAAGGAAACCTACGGAGGCACTCGCACCCAACTCGTCAAGCTTCATAGTGGTCTACTGGACCCTCATCGCTTAGCTTTGATGGATAGTACGGTACCCCTGGTCGCCATGTGGCAGGAGACGTCCCCCATTGTGAAGAGCTAACCCCATGGGCGCTTACCTACTCGTACAAGCACCGGCCTCTCGCTAATTCCAGTCTCAAAGATTTCACCTCGCGAGGAGAAAATTGAACACATATATACATGTGAAGTACTCGGCGATTGAAGATGAACCTCGCTAGGTGTTGCATCCGGGTTCTTGTCTCTCGAAAAGGCCAATTCAACCATGTGAGTTTGTGTGGACCCGGGAGCCTTTTGTAGACTCGTTGGTTTGGTGGGGATGGGACTATTGCGAATAGTCCGTCAGTCCCTAGACTAACCTTTTTGACCGCCTAACTTGCATTTGGCCGAGAGACCAAGTACGAGTACGGGTCTGGGCTTGACCAGCTATCCGGGCCAACTGAATGGACTCGGTAGGGCTCAGCTACCGTGCAATGCGGGCAGTTATAATTACGAGGATCTGTGCTTGGGTTTTGCTGAGGCTGATACCCTCACTTTCCCAGGGTCACATCCGACTCCAAGGTCACATTTGAACCACCACGAACTTCATATTGGAAACGCCGTTGCTCAAACCACTTCAAGGTTCTGGGTCCTTTATCGGACTCTCGTTTCATCGTAACTTCAACACCAACGTTCTGATCTTTTACTCTCTTCCATCCTACCCCATTCCTAGAGCCTGAGGTACATTTTCTGGTTTCACAAGCATCTTCCTCCTGTTTTCTGCATTTTTCATCCCACGCTGATTGGATCTTCTGGCACGTGAGTTAGCCTGACTCAACACCTCCAGAAATTAAGGCTCTCAACCACCCGTCATGTCGGAGCTGGCCTCAGTAAAATCGGTCAGCAATGGCAGTCCGCCTCCAGATGATCGAGAGCATGACCTCGACAATTATCTTCAACCGCTACACATTGATGATGGCATCATCCACAACTTAGCCTACCAGTTCTCCAAGGTTTATGAAGAGCTAGCATTACGATCAGACGAACAATTTTTGCCTACCCCAGTCACAAAGTTACCGTCGGGTCAAGAGACCGGGCAATTTCTGGCCATCGATGTTGGTGGCACCAACTTGCGTGTTGCCTTTATCGAATTGTTGGGTGATGCCGACGAACAGTTGCCCAGCGCCAATGGAGCAGATCGGTCACGTGCAACCATTAGTAACGCCCAGCGACCGCGTGTTCGCCGGACACTCGAAAAGGCATGGCCGATAGGTGAGCATCTTAAGATGGACAAAACCGAAGATCTATTTGCATGGATTGGAGATTGTATCGCTGAGGTCGTAAATGACCGGTTGAGCTCCGACAAAGACAAATTCCCAGTCCCAGACGAGTTGCCCATGGGGATTACCTTCAGCTTTCCAATGATGTGGGTCTCGTCTTACTTATCTTTCTTACGTGTCGGAAGTGATACTGAACCAGCATAGGCAAGACCAACTATCCTCCGCTACCCTTATGCCCATGGGAAAGGGTTTTACCATGAACTCGGATCTTGACCTTGGCTCCACTTTACTGCAAGGCTATGCACGGCACACCAGACGGCAGTCTCCATCAAGATCTTCGCCACGAGCAAAAAGGAGGAAACTCGGTCCTCTCCCTCAACTGAAGATCACTGCCATTACCAACGACACCATTGCTACTTTTGCTTCCCTCGCGTATACCGTCAAGTCCCTTCCCAATTCTCGAGTCGCTGCCGGTGTCATTGTTGGGACTGGTTGCAATGCCACAGTGCCCATGAAGCTTTCCAGCTTGGGAGCGTCCAAGGTTGAGCCAATCAAGAGAAACAAACCCGATGCAATCGAAACTGTGGTTAATACGGAAATCACAATTGCAGGGGCCTGCGGTCCTTTGAAAGCCATCGCCACTGAATGGGATCGTGAATTGGATGAAGCTTGCGCTCGACCCGGTTTTCAACCCCTTGAGTACATGACTGGTGGGCGATACATCGGGGAGCTAGTTCGGATCATCTTCTTCAACTATATGACGAAGGCACACAGACCTGCAATACCCATTGCATCTCTTCCCGCCACTCTTGTACACAGCTATAGCTTCACGACAACGTTTGTCAGTGCCGTTATTGCGAGAGCTCGGTCTGATTCCGAGTTAGCTGGTGAGCTGAAGCGTCGGATTCCCCCTCCAGAATCCTCTAATTGGGGATGGACGCCACACACCGCTGGAGCACTCCGCAAGATCGCACAACTTGTTCAAGTTCGATCGGCGGGACTGATAGCTGCTTCGACAGTTGGTCTTCTAGCAACAGTGGGTGAAGTAGCACTCACTGAGCCTGGAAGCCCTGCTTCACTACCTGATGTGCCGATGCAAAGTGACAGCAAACCTGCATCGCCAAAATCACACCTTTCGGTAGCTCAAAAACAGAACACAAGAGATGCGCTCTCCCCTGCCCCTGGAGCCTCGGCTTGGAGATCAGGGCCTGAAGAACTTGTCATTGCCTATACGGGAGGAATCATCCAGCACTATCCTAATTTCAAGGAACAATGTCAACGGTTCATAGACCGTCTCGTAATGAGAGCCGGTCCACAGGATGGTGGTAAGAGTGTGTTTTTGCGAGAAGCTCGAGATGGCGGTATTATTGGAGCCGGAGTACTTGCTGGTATGGAAACCAGCGAAAAGATAGCCGCCTCCTAGGCTCCAGCAGCGGGGAATCACGCTGCACTGCGAATTGAAGCCGAAGTTCATACGGCCAACTCTTGATCTGGGAGCTTGAACTTTGCAATCATTATTTCTGGGGAAACCCCGGAATGAATACGGAGATCATTAGCTGGTTAAATGTCGGAGAACGCTACTCGAAAGCGACCGCCAACTTCCCCGGTCTTATAATCTCGGAGCACTTTTAGTTGATCACCACTGATCTCGATGTTTCGCCGATGGAGAAATCGAGTTTGATTCGAATACCCCGTCCTCGGTCCTCCAACCCTTGAGTCTGGAACTTGGAAGCAATCCTCCTCGAGTCTTGCCTAATTGGAATAGGCAGGTACTCCGTGCCTGGAGGTTGGGAGCTGACCCCGCACTTCAGCGTTGCAATTGGCAAAAAGTAGGTCACCTACTACTCGTAGTAGGTTCATCAAACTTGTACCTTGTACCTAGCCTGTGGACGAAGGGAGGTTGAAACGACGCGTGTGCTTATCACACACCACACCATAGACCTCGGGAGACCAATAAGCACTTGAATGATGGTGCATGAGAGCTTGGAGTGGTAAGAGGGCTGTCAGCATCATGGAATCAGGGGGAAGGTCACCCGTAGCATTACTCGTGCGAGCTTCCAGTTAGACTCTTGATGATTGAGAGATTAGTGAACTTTTCATGACTACTTCACGCATTGAGCTTGTTCACTCCCGACTTGAAGAACAATGTCAATGTCATTCATGGTTGGTTATATATCAACACTCTGACTAGAATATGGATGGTCTCATGAGCATCGTGATCGAGGAAGCCTCGTGATTTGGACGGCCTATGAACATGCTGAGAATAGAATTGACCCGTGGTGTTGTGGGAGGGCCAGCATCACAGGCTCAAACCAGAGCCCAACCGATTGCGGGCATTATGGTGAAGATGTGATGGAATCTCCCCGGAGCACGCTAAAATAAAAAACGTGGGCGTAACTTTTGACTCCCGCTCTGGGCTGGGGGAGGCGCCTGGTCAACACGGGCCGCCTATTATTCTCTGTTGGACGAAATTGTGATTCCTTTGTGCTACAGGACAAAAGTGTGGTTGTTGTCTGAGGTTTGTTTCTGAACTGTCCTGGTGAAGAATTTCACGCCCACCGGTCACGGTCACGCCAGGCGAGAGGGAGTCGTTGTGTGATTCGAAAGAAGGCCGGACTACGGATGATTTACGGGGCACCAGACCGCCCGCAGGACGGGTCCAAGGCTCCCATCCCAGCCAGTACGAGTTTTTCTCATGTGTTCGTGGAACGGACAGGGTCATCATTCGGGGGGTGGTTTTCGGTTCACCGGTGCCGAGTTGCGCAAGTTGGTTGACCAACTGGGTAGCCATGTCAACTGTGTTTGACAATTGCTTCTATCATGGGGATTTCGAAGCTCCTGCAGCTAGCTCCCCTGAATCCTGATACATCTATTATTCCATCAACTGTCTCCTAGTAGTGGCAGTGCTTTTGTCCCGTGTTTCGAGGGAATTCTGTATACCTGACCTGGAGATGGAGTTTTCCCCGTCAGCCATGCGCCCAGTCCGGAGATCGAACCAGACCGTGCCTAGCACGGCGGGAGTGACGGAGGGGTTAGACCCCATAGCCCCTTCGAGGTGCTTCTGTGGGTGAACGCCTCTCAAAATACCCCGGTACTTGGTACTTGCTAGGCATGGGTGTTGGAACTTGGAACTTGGGGCACATCCCTCACCACTCGAGTCCTCCACAGTCCACAGTCCACAGTCCACATTCCTGACGGGTTGCCCGGCTAAAAGCTCTTTCAATCATGGCCATTTTCGATCATGTCCACCACCTGTTCGTTTAAGCGAACACATTCCTGCCCACATCATCACGCACTTGACTCTACACCCATTTCCGCCCATCAAAAGTTGTCGCTTGCCACTCACTCACCTAACTTTCAATCTTTTTTTTGGCTTATTGTCCAGCACAGGACTGACTTCTTGCGCACATTATTCGTACCTCGATCGGGCTCGACGCCATCTTCAAACTCCGCAGCCGTTCTGCGCTGTGCGATACCTATCTCAGTGATGGAACACCCTTGGTAACCAAGATTCGAAAGATCTCAAGTCATCATCTACATCGACAAGCCGTTTTCGGCCAAGGTGTGACCATGAGTCCGGTACCTCCTATCAAAGATGTGCTACATATACTTGGAAAGCGGCGGGACGAGGTCACCAAGCCTACAGACTCGGCCGGTCTTGTGCTGGAAGCATGGGCGGAGGGATATATGGTAGGATCGCTGATAATCATGTCTTGCATCACGCTGGCAAACATGCGCAGAGGGGTCCTGCTTCATAAGCTCATTCTACTCGAGGTAGGTCTTCATGTCACACTCTCTTGTATGTTTCTGCCCATAAACTTACCTCTGCACGTCTTGGATAGCTCGTCCTCGGTTACTGGCAAGGCTTCTTCATCCTCTTCAATCCACCGGTGTATGCTTGGTGGTTATCTGTGGCCGCGATATTTTTGAACGCCTCGTGGTCCCTGCACAACGTCATTGCGTGGATGAAACTCCGACCATTCTTAAGCAAGACCGCTAGCCGACTTTTCATCGGCTCCGTCATTCTTGTCCAACCCTATTGGGTCGTGGAGATATACGCAAACTTTACCTACTTCCACAACGTCAACGATATCTTCCTCAAGACCAGGCCATGGGAAGCACTATGTCGTGATCCTTGGTGGATACTCGCTGCTGTCGTCTTGATTTACAACATCAAGACTCGATACGACCTGTCGGTGGTACAGATTGTTCGCATCTCTCCGAGATTTGCTGTTATGCTTGGTGCAATGTTTCTTAGCATCTGTTTTATCGTGCTTGATGTTCTTTCGGTCACTTCAGCGCTCAAATCAGCCCTTCCTGTCGGCATCAATCCGTTTTGGAAATTGTCGTTTGTTTTCAAGTGTTTGACCGATTCGGTGGTGCTGGACGATTTCAAAACCGCCTTGGATAGATTGCGGGCCTTCAAAATGAGCCGACTGGGTAGCTTTGCCATGGATGGAGGTGATCACAGAAACAAACAGCACAAGGAGGAAGTGCAAAAGGCAAACAGCTGGACAAATCCACCGGCCAAAGGCGATGTTGCCCAGCCAGTCGGCCAACTTCCCTCAATGCCTAGTCCAGATGATGACTATATCAAAAATCGATGGGAAGATATCAAGCCGGGACGAATCGATCATATCGAAGATGAGCAATATGGAGACATAGCAAGGAATGCCTCTCGAGATCGCGATGTCGAAGAGAATCCCTTCACTGTGATTGATTATGCCGATCCCCAGAGAGAGGCAAGCGACACCCAGAGGCTGAAGAAGCAGACCAGCTGGTTGAACAATCGGAAGTCGTCTGAAGATTTATCGGACGCCGATCCAGATGTCGAATATGCCCTGGCTGTTCGGGAGATGACTCACGACTCCCTAGACGACCCGAACAAAAAGAACAAGACCATTGGAATTGCCAGGTAACCTGCGTTCAATAAGGCTGTCCTCCATGCTTTGGAGATGGCGTTACACTTTAAAGACATGGCTCAGTCATTTAAATATATCGAGCTGAAAACTTGCTCTCGATGGCTAGGAAGAGCACTCTTGGGCGTCAAATAATTGACGTTCTCCAGGTGTTCGGCACTCCATACAAGTGCTTGGTCTACCAAGCATAGTGCTCCAAACGAGAGCATGATCACACATGCAAGCCTTCAGGCGTGGTTTGTTTAGATCACTCGAATGAGAGAGCCGAGTCGTGGGAATTGCGAGCTTGATTAGTTTCATATCTCCCACACCTCGCCGAAATGATGGGATGACTTACTACAGGGGTCGGACGAACTGGACAAGGATGAGGACAGGACCATGACCAATGCGGAGATTTAGAGGAACTCCAGCAGAGTTGGGACTTAAAAAATTGGACATCAGGACGGGGTTTGGTATAGCGACAATGACTTGATACCCAGTTTAGGATGTTTGTATATAAGGACACTAAAAATTAAGTATATCTGATATATATTCATGGTAGCGAATATTGATATTTAGCCTAGAAGAAGTTCATTCGCGATCCCTCGGGCCCCCCTGCGGCAGCACGAGCCCCTTGAGATTTCGAGACCCCTTATGCACATCATGCTTCCTGAATCTTCAGAGCGTTCGTGGCCCGGAGGATTAGCAGACACTTGCCTGCTTTGGGCCAGGGCTAGTCTATATGAAGCTAGTGGTGGATGCCACTAAGTCATTCGCCAGCGGTTGGCTGCAAGTACCGGGGCGTGCCAGTACTTACGGGTAGAAATACTTTCTTGGCGGATTGGACGCGTTACTGCCAACTGCCAGCGCGGTCCACGGCCTAAACTTCAAGTTCCAGGTGACCTCTACAGTGCATCTGGTCTCCGTACCCTTCGATTCAATCAATTGTTTGATCAACCATCACCAACAACTCTCCCTTATCTTCCCACGTCTTGTCATTCCGTTCCATCGGCATTGCGATTGGCGTTCGGGTGGTTGATTCATCCTGAGATGCAGCCCAACAGATCATCGGCGGCATCGTCTCACTCAGACCTACAACACTGCAACAATGGAAGTACTGTCGCCTGCGGCCCCTACCAATGGGACTTCTGATCAAGCGATCCTGGAGCCGGCGGTCGATCCCATTGTCGTTCTCGAACACATCGCCAACCTAATAGAGACAACACTCGGTGCCGCAAGAAGAGAACTGGAAGCAGTTGGCAGTTTACTGTCCAAATCCAACCATGCCGAATCCCTCTATCAATGTGCCCGGTTTGCAAATGAGCCCCAGATCACGACTTTATTTGCTCGGAAGGACATCAGAGAGGAGATGGTCAATGGCCACGATGATACCCCAAGTGAGTCAAGCCATACCAAATCGTACGTTGTCTAATCAAGTGGTAGAAATTGAACATGTCTTTACACTCTCGGCCGAACTCTCCCCTACCGAGACAACGGTTGCGTCCCTAGCCTTCCTTAAACTATCTGGTCCTCTCGATGCACGCAAACCGATCGCGACCCAAATACAAGTCTCCAATCTTCCCGGATCATACGCTGTCAATAACGACGAAAATAGGCATATCGATAAAGCCTCTCCTTACGATGTTGTCTATTCACTCTTACACAACGTCCTTAGCCCCTACTTTGAAGCGTACACCCGAACACAAGACTCAAGCAATCGGAACTGGTACGATGCCCAGGCAAAGAGCGGAGTGCCAGGAGCGAGGAGGAGGATTGCGGAGTTGGAAATGAGCCTTCTGCATTTGGCACAGAACACAGATATCCCTTTGGTTCGCCTCAGCATGCATGAGATAGTGAACATGGCTCTTCAAGAGGCTAGTTCACATGGAAGGACTGCGTCTTTGCAGGATATTCCAGGTCATGTTCTTGAAGACACCACAGTCCAGAATAGTCTGCAGGCTCACGTCAATGGGTGGATCAAATCGATTCAGGAGGTCACCAAACGAACCAAGGATCCGGCTTCAAATTCGGCTCGACAAGAAATCAATTTGTGGTTGTCATTAGAGTCAGCATTGAACAGATTGGCATCTGAGATAAATTCCGAAGGCGTCAAACTGACTTTCGATATCCTCAAGAAAGCGAAACGACAGCAGGTTCTCATAAGTTTCGATACGGACACTGGCCTCAAAGATGCAGTCGAAACCGTACGGAACTACAACAATCTGATGCGAGACTTCCCACTCGACGAGCTATCTTCTGCAGTATCCCTATCCAAAGTGGCAGATGCGCTATCCCAAATTTTCACGCATCTGAACAGAAAATGGAGAGTCTGCAACTACCCTATCAGACGGGCACTGAAACTTGTGGAGGGTATTTCAGAAGATATGGACGGTCAAATACACCATCTTTTGCAAGGTCGTTCGATAATGTCCCTTCCATGGCCCGAATTTGAAGAACTTATGGGATCTGTCAACATCATCTGGGATACATGGGACGAACAGATCAAGTCTTTCACCGCCGTAGCACGAGAAATCACCAAGCGGAAGAATACCGAGTTCGTGCCCGTGAAAGTCAACCCACGACATTCCCAGACACAGGACCGCCTGCGATATATCCAGAAGTTTCGAAATGAACACGAGCAATTGCAAAAGACTATCATTAATGTTCTTGGCTCGAAATCCGGAGCCAATGGTCTGTCCCGCGCCGAAGACAGTGGAGCTGCGATCATTGAAGAGTTGGGAGGTGCTGATGCGATCGAAGAGGTAGCCAACGCTTATAACATCGTGCGTCACGTCGACGTCCTGGATGTATCCGAGAAAGGAACTGCAGTGTGGGCACAAGCCGAAGCTGAGTACACAGAGAGAACTTCTCGAGTGGAGGATTCAATTATAGCACGCCTCCGTGATCGTCTGGGAAAAGCCAAGACCGCAAATGAGATGTTTCGTGTCTTCGAGAAGTTCAACGCACTGTTAGTGAGGCAAAAAGTCCGCGGTGCAATTGCCGCGTATCAAACTCAGCTTCTGGACAACGTCAAGAATGCTATTGCTGCGCTGCATGAACGCTTCAAGCAACAATATGGTGGATCGGAAGCCCAAATGATGGCTCAGTTACGCGATATCCCTCCAGTAGCTGGTGCCATTCTGTGGGTTCGCCAGATTGAGGCCCAGCTTGACAGCTACATGTCTAAAGTACAAGCTGTCTTGGGCGAAGACTGGACTTTACATGCAGATGGTCAGAAATTACAAGCTGAAAGCAACATGTTCCGAAAGAAGCTGACAACGCGAGACATCTACGAGGCATGGTTGTACGATATTCAGTCTCGAGAGATCTCTGTTACTGGAAGACTATTTTCAATCGCTCGGAGTAGGGGCACAAATACTGCCCTGGAACTCATTGTTCACTTCGACAATCATGCGATATCTCTGTTCAAAGAGGTCAGAAATCTAACATGGTTGAATTTCCAAATACCGCATCGAATTTCTACCACAGCCAAACAAGCTCAAAGAGTGTATCCTTATGCCCTCAGTCTCATGGAAAGTGTAGCAGGCTATTTCTCAGCGGTCAGAGCCATCTCGGACATGCCCAACATGGCACCACTGTTGGCAGGGCATCAGAAGGAGGTCCAGCGTCTCTTTGAGAAAGGAATACCTCTGAAATGGGACTCCTTTATTCATTCATATGAGTTGCATATCAAGTCAAAATCTGCAACATCAGAGTCAGCTCATGTACAATATGTACGGGATTTGGCGTCTGCTGTGACAACTTTACAGAACAAGACTGCAACAGTTTATGAATTGGACCAGAGCATCCAGCTAGCTTTGGCTGAAGTCAAGACATGCCCATATTCAACAAAATCCTTTCAATCCCAGATGGACCTAATCCAGATTGCTGTCGACAAGATGAACCTGGAAAACTACGCAAACCTTCCTGCCTGGGTCTCGCAACTGAACTCACAGCTGGATGAGATTTTTGTTTCTCGGCTTCACCATGCGCTTAAGCATTGGACCAACTCCTTCATTTCGTCTGATGGGCAAGAAGGCATGGTGTCATCCATTGAACCTGGAGAGGAAGCCGTGCTTAACGTCCATTTCGCTCCAACGCAGATCGAGATCATGATGAACAACCAAACTGTCTTTGTAGATCCTCCTTTGAATTTCGTTAAATCCACCTGGCTTAAGCAGCTCGAAGACTGGCTCGATGTTCTTTGCCATCTACCACGCATCAGAGCTTCGCGCTATCAGCTGACTGCAGCAGCAGGTATGGTGGAGGCCACTCCCTTGTTCGAGGGCCTTCCTCTGCAAAACGTAGAAGCTTTGCAGGCTGCATACACGGCCATTGACACGAAAGTTGCTGAAATGTCAGCCTACCTGGAAGAGTGGTACACATATCAGAATCTGTGGGATCTGCGAAGCGAGCAATTGCATGAGGAGCTTGGCGATGATCTTGCCCAATGGCATCAACTATTGCAAGAAGTCCGCCATGCCCGTACCACATTCGACACTTCCGAAGGGCGCAAGACATTTGGCTCCGTGACCTTTGACTATGAGCAAGTACAGTCGAAGATCACACAGAAATACGACCAGTGGCAACACGAAGTAACCAGCAAATTTGGTGGTATTCTCGGCAATCGTATGGCAGAAGTGTTCACAGATATGAAGCGAGCACGACTGGAACTCGAGAATCAATCTCTCGAGACACATTCAACTGCCCAGGCTGTTGCTTTTATTACCACGGTTCAACAGTGCAGACGAGATGCCGCATTATGGGGTCCTGAAGTTGAGATCTTCCGACAAGGACAAACCACTCTTTCAAGACAACGTTATAATTTCGCGAGCGACTGGCTTTCTGCAAATCAAGTCAGTGACGAGTGGGATTCGTTCGAGGACATCCTAAACCGAAAGAGCAAAATTGTCGAAGACCAGACTGAAGCCTTACGAGCCAATATCATCGCTGAGGATAAATTGATTAGTGGTCGTATCGCCGATATTGTTGCCCAATGGTCTGAAGAGAAGCCAGTCTCAGGCTCAATAGCCCCAGCTGAGGCTGCCGAACTCCTTCGTAGCTTTCAAGGTCGCATGGAGAAGCTCCAAGGCGAAGCTGAAACCGTGTCCAAAGCCCGAGAAGCACTTTCACTACCTCTAAGTCGGAATGAAGGCTTGACAACAGCGATGGAGGAAGTAGGCGATTTCATGGCTGTGTGGACTGCCCTCTCAACTATTTGGCAGAGCGTCGATGAGCTCCGAGATACTCCGTGGGCAAGTCTACAGCCTCGAAAACTTCGACAATCACTCGATGGCTTAGTGAAAATGACCAAGGAGATGCCCAGCAGAATGCGACAATATGCGGCATTCGAATATGTGCAAAATGCGCTCAAGCAAATGATCAAGACAAACGCTCTTCTAGGCGATTTGAAGTCGGACGCAATCCGTGAACGTCACTGGCTCAAGATCTACAAAGCACTGAAACCTCACAAACGATATTCGGAAGTTTCCATGACCCTTGGAGATGTTTGGGATCTTCAGCTGGCAACAAGCGAGGCTACGATCCGAGAAATCATTACCCAAGCACGTGGCGAACTCGCCCTGGAAGAATTTGTGCGCCAGGTGCGTGATACATGGCAGAGCTATCCTCTCGAACTGGTCAACTATCAGAACAAGTGCCGTCTCATTCGTGGGTGGGACGACCTTTTCACTAAATGCAGTGAGAATCTCAATTCTCTCCAAGCCATGCGACATTCACCTTATTACAAAGAGTTTGAGGATGAAGCGTCTGCTTGGGAAGACAAGCTCAATCGTGTACATGTCTTGTTCGACGTCTGGATAGATGTTCAACGTCAGTGGGTCTACCTAGAAGGAGTCTTCACAGGAAACAACGATATCAAGCACTTGTTACCGACCGAGTCTAGCCGATTCTCAAACATCAATACCGAATTTTCTGCTGTGATGAAGAAAGTATACAAGTCTCCTTTCGTCATGGATGTGCTTTCAATTCCTGGAGTACAGAAGTCTCTAGAACGATTGGCAGAGCTCTTAAGCAAGATTCAGAAAGCACTTGGTGAATACTTGGAGCGCGAGCGGGTCTCGTTTCCTCGATTTTACTTCGTTGGTGATGAAGATTTGCTTGAGATCATCGGCAACAGCAATGACAGCACTCGTGTGGCAAAACACTTCAAGAAAATGTTCGCTGGCATTTCTGGTGCGGTCGTGACCGAAGACAGTACGATAACCGCTATCACATCGAAAGAGGGCGAAAATGTCGTTCTGAAGAAGGAGATCTCTCTCATCAAGCTGCCCAAGATTAATGACTGGCTCACTGCTTTAGACAATAGCATGAAGCAGACTTTGGCCGAGCTATTAGCCGAAGCGGCTGTGGCTTTCAGACCATTATTCACATCTCCTGAACTCGATAATTCCAAGCTCCACGAGTACATGACTACATATCCAGCGCAGATCATGATACTCGCTTCACAAGTTGTTTGGACCGACCTCGTTCGAGAATCACTTGAGGATGCGGGTAATGGACTTGCTAAAATCTACGAATATGAGGCAAGGCTCCTAGGTTTGTTAGCAGCGAGTGTACTGCAGGACTTGCCATCGCTCATGCGCAAGAAATGTGAACACTTCATCACCGAAGCTGTGCACCAGCGCGATGTCATAACCAAATTGATTAATGCGGAAGCAACCTCACCTGGCCATTATATCTGGCTGTTGCAAATGCGCTATTCCTACGACCCGAACGCAGAGCTGATGTCACGGCTACGTATCGAGATGGCCAATGCTGTACTCGAATATGGATATGAATATCTCGGTGTTCCAGATCGCCTCGTTAGGACGCCACTGACCGACCGCTGCTTCTTGACTTTGACCCAAGCCTTGTGTCAGAGACTGGGTGGTTCCCCATATGGTCCGGCTGGTACTGGTAAAACAGAATCAGTCAAGGCGCTGGGCCTGCAACTCGGCCGCTTCACCCTGGTTTTCTGCTGTGATGACACTTTTGATTTCCAAGCCATGGGTCGCATCTTCCTCGGATTGTGTCAAGTTGGTGCGTGGGGATGTTTCGACGAGTTCAATCGGCTTGAGGAGAGAATTCTGTCTGCAGTATCTCAACAGATCCAAAATATTCAAATTGGTCTCAAGCACACCACCAATGAGCAGAAGGCACAAATCGAGCTTGTCGGTCGTCGCTTTAAGGTCAATCCAAATACTGGCCTCTTCATCACCATGAATCCTGGTTATGCTGGTCGTTCTAATTTGCCAGACAATCTCAAGAAGCTATTCAGAAGTGTTGCAATGTCGAAGCCAGATAAGGAACTAATCGCTGAAGTCATGCTCTTCTCCCAGGGATTCAAGCAAGCCAAACCCATATCCTCCCAAGTTGTTCCTTTTTTCGAGCACTGTGCTCGGCGGCTATCGAAACAACCCCACTATGACTTCGGACTACGAGCTCTGAAAAGTGTTCTCGTTAGTTCTGGCGGTCTCAAGCGACTTCGAATGCAGAACGGAGAGCTACCGACTGAAAACGAGCAAGACTTGGAACCTGAGATCATTGTCCAAAGTATTCGAGAAACAGTATCACCGAAGCTCATCAAGCGAGATGTGGAAACGCTTGTAGAAGTTCAGACAGAGGACTTCCCGGGAGTCAACTATGTTCCAGCCCACCTGGCAGCGCTGACAGAAGCCATTAAGCAAGTAATGGAGGAGCAAGGCTTGACGCAAAGTGAAGCCTGGATGACCAAAATCCTGCAACTCTACCAAATTCAAAATATTCATCATGGTGTCATGATGGTAGGACAGTCGGCTTCCGGCAAATCAACTATCTGGAGAGTGCTTCTTCAAGCTCTGCAACGAGTAGAGGGCATAGAGGGCGTTCATCATGTCATCGATCCCAAGGTCATGTCGAAAGAAGCCTTGTATGGCAGCCTTGACAGTACCACCAGAGAGTGGACTGATGGTTTGTTCACTGGTATTCTAAGAAAAGTGGTTGACAACCTCCGTGGTGAGGAGAGCAAGCGCCATTGGATTGTCTTTGATGGTGACGTTGATCCTGAATGGGTGGAAAATTTGAACAGTGTACTTGACGACAACAAGTTACTCACCCTTCCGAACGGTGAACGATTGAATCTACCTCCTAATGTCCGCGTGATGTTTGAGGTTGAGACATTGAAATACGCGACACTTGCCACGGTCAGTCGTTGTGGAATGGTCTGGTTTTCCGACGACACAGTTACGCCCTCATTGATGGTCGACCACTATCTGCAAGCATTGTCAGTCCGCAATTTCGAAGACCTCGATGATGAGATTAAGGCCTCAGGGCTTTCCTCTCGTTCCCAGGAGACACAACGACACGTGGTTGAGACGCTACGAGGCCTTATCACTCGCGATGACTTCTTACTTCAAGCCTTGGATGCGGCTACCAAGCACAAACACATTATGGAGTTCACCCCTGCCCGTGCCCTTGACAGCCTTTTCAGTCTCCTCGCTAAGGCATGCCGAACGATCCTCGAGTACAACGTGTACCATACTGAATTTCCACTCGATCCTGAGCAAATAGAAGCCTTCGTCTCTAAGAGACTACTTCTCGCTACCGTCTGGAGCTTTGTCGGTGATGGCATGCTGACTATCCGCAAACAATTTGGCGACTTCATCAGTAGCATGACGAACATCGAATTGCCTAGTCTGGATGAGACTATGTCTCTCATCGACTATGATGTCAGTCTACCACATGCTCAGTGGGTGCCATGGCAATCTCAAGTACCGACAATTGATCTCAATACGCACTCCATCACTCAAACCGATGTGATTATCCCAACCATTGATACCGTCCGTCATGAGGATGTTCTTTACTCTTGGCTTTCAGAGCATAAACCCTTGATGTTGTGTGGTCCGCCAGGTTCTGGCAAGACAATGACTCTATTCAGTGCTCTACGCAAACTCCCAGATATGGAAGTTGTTGGTCTCAATTTCTCCAGTGCCACTCAACCCGAACTGATCATCAAAACCTTTGAGCAGTACTGCGAGTACAAGAAAACCTTGAATGGAATGGTCCTCTCACCAACTCAGCTCGGCCGCTGGCTGGTCATATTCTGTGACGAAATAAATTTGCCGGCTCCTGACAAGTATGGGACACAACGAGCAATCAGTTTCCTGAGACAACTTGTTGAGCAAAACGGGTTCTGGTGTACTTCCGACAGAGCTTGGGTCAGTCTGGAACGCATACAATTTGTTGGAGCTTGTAATCCACCTGAAGATGTTGGTCGTCATCCCATGGGAGACAGATTCTTGCGACATGCACCAGTGGTTTTGGTTGATTATCCTGGCGAGCTCTCCCTCACTCAGATCTATGGCACATTCAACAATGCAGTTCTCAAAGTCATCCCTACATTGAGAGGGTTTGGTGATGCACTAACTCATGCCATGGTCGACTTCTACCTCAAATCTCAAGCTCGATTTACCGCAGAGATCCAGCCACACTACGTTTATTCACCCAGAGAGCTGACTCGTTGGGTCAGAGGCATCTATGAAGCCATTGCCCCACTTGAGCATCTTTCCCTAGAGGGCTTGATACGTATCTGGGCCCACGAGGCACTCCGACTTTTCCAGGATCGACTTGTTGACGATGAAGAAAGAGTATGGACGGCTGATATGGTCAGACAAACCGCTCTAGAACACTTCCCAACTGCAGACATCGACTCAGCATTACAAGGTCCGATCCTCTTCTCAAACTGGCTGTCCAAGAACTATGTTTCAGTGGAGCAAGATCAACTCCGGGAATTTGTGAAAGCTCGACTGAGGACATTCTGCGAAGAGGAAGTCGACGTTCCACTTGTACTTTTCAATGATGTTTTGGAGCATGCCCTACGCATTGATCGAGTCTTTAGGCAACCGCAAGGTCATCTCATCCTTATCGGTACGAGTGGCAGTGGAAAGACCACCCTCTCAAGGTTCGTTGCATGGATGAACGGCTTGAGCATATTTCAAATCAAGGTCCACGGTCGATACTCGGCAGAAGACTTTGATGATGATCTTCGTGGTGTCTTAAGGGCATGTGGTTGCCGTGGCCAAAAAATCTGCTTCATCATGGACGAATCAAATGTCCTAGACTCTGGGTTCCTCGAGAGAATGAACACATTACTTGCCAATGGTGAAGTTCCGGGTCTTTTCGAAGGCGATGAGTACTCTGCGTTGATGACCGCGTGCAAGGAAGGAGCACAGCGCCAAGGGCTGTTACTAGATTCTCAAGAGGAACTTTACAAATGGTTCACTCAACAGATTGTGAGAAATCTGCATGTTGTCTTCACGATGAATCCGCCACAAGATGGTCTCTCATCGAAAGCAGCCACTAGCCCCGCATTGTTTAATCGATGCGTTCTTAATTGGATGGGTGACTGGTCTGATCAAGCCCTTTTCCAAGTTGGATACGAACTTACTCAATCAATTGACCTGGACAAGCCGAACTTTACAGCACCAGACAGCATCACAAGAGCTTACCGTGATCTTTCTCTACCTGCTTCTCATCGCGATACTGTCGTCAATGCAATGGTCTACATTCATTACGCCGTGCAAAAGACCAACGAACGTTTGGAGCAACACCAAGGCACCGTGACCTATCTCACTCCTCGACACTATCTGGACTTCGTTACTCAGTTTGGAAAACTCTTCAGTGAGAAGCGTGGAGATCTGGAGGACCAGCAACGCCATCTGAATGTTGGTCTCGAGAAGCTTCGAGATACTGTGGACAAGGTCTCAGATTTGAGAGTCAGCCTTGCTCAGAAGAAGCAGCAACTGGAGTTGAAGGATGCTGAGGCGAATGAAAAACTTCAAAAGATGGTTGCCGACCAGCGTGAAGCCGAAACTCGGAAGACTGCTTCCCTGGAAGTACAAACAGCCCTCGAGAAACAAGAAAAGGAAGTCGCAAGTCGCAAAGAGATTGTGCTCAATGACCTGGCTAGAGCTGAGCCCGCCGTTCTCGAAGCCCAGCAAAGTGTGAGCAATATCAGAAGACAGCATCTGACTGAAGTCCGATCAATGGCAAATCCTCCAGCTGGCGTCAAACTCGCTCTAGAATCGGTCTGCACACTGCTTGGCAACAAGGTCGATAGCTGGAGAAGCATTCAAGCTATTGTTCGAAAAGAAGACTTTATTGCAAACATTGTCAATTATGATAATGAAGCTCAAATGACAGCAAATCTACGACTGAAGATGCGAAATGAATATCTTTCTAACGAGGATTTTACGTTTGAAAAAGTTCACCGTGCGAGTAAAGCCTGTGGTCCACTTGTTCAATGGGTCCAGGCACAGGTGAACTACTCTGAGATCCTTGACCGAGTTGGTCCTCTAAGAGAAGAAGTTGAACAACTGGAAGAACAAGCACTTCAGACAAAAGCAGAGGCCAAAGCAATCGAAGAAACCATCATCAAACTCGAGTCCAGTATTGCGACATACAAGACAGAGTATGCTGCACTCATCAGTGAAACACAAGCTATAAAGACCGAGATGTCTCGAGTGCAAACCAAGGTCGACCGCAGCGTACGCCTACTGGATAGTTTGTCGTCTGAACGAGTCAGATGGGAGGCGGCTAGCAAGTCTTTCGAGACACAAATCCAGACGCTTGTTGGTGATGTCGTCATTGCTTCCGCCTTCCTGGCGTATGCAGGTCTTTATGATCAACAATTCAGAAAGGCTATGGTGGATGATTGGATGCATCATATGTCGCAGTCCGGCATTCTGTGCAAGGCTGACGGTTCCGTATTGGGCTATCTGTCCTCTGCAGACGAGCGTCTTCAATGGCAACGCCACTCACTTCCTGCCGATGATCTGTGCATGGAGAACGCTATCATGCTCAATCGTTTCAATCGCTACCCGTTGATCATTGACCCTCCTGGACGAGTCACCGAATTCTTGAAACAAGAACACCAAGGACGGAAACTGACTGTGACGAGTTTCTTGGACGATGCGTTCACAAAGCAGCTTGAAAGTGCTCTACGTTTTGGCAATCCAATCCTGATCCAAGACGCCGAATACCTAGATCCTATCTTGACCCATGTATTGAACAAAGAGTATCAAAAAACAGGTGGACGAGTACTCATCCAATTAGGGAAGCAGGAGATCGATTTCTCACCCAGCTTCCAACTCTACCTCTCGACCCGAGATCCTTCAGCAGCGTTTGCACCGGATGTGTGCAGCAGAACAACATTCATCAATTTTACTGTCACTCGAAGCAGCTTGCAAACGCAATCATTGAACGATGTTCTCAAGGCTGAACGACCAGACGTTGACAAGCGACGAACTAATTTGGTCAAGATGCAAGGAGAGTTCGACACGAACTTGAGACAATTGGAGAAACGCCTCCTTCAAGCACTCAATGAATCACGAGGCAACATTCTCGACGACGATAACGTTATCCAAACTCTGGAGACTCTCAAGAAAGAAGCAGCCGTCATTACCAAGAAGGTGGCCGAAACCGAAGGAGTCATGGCAGAAGTCGAGCGCATCACTCAAAGCTATAGTCAAATCGCCAATGCGTGCAGTGCAATTTTTGCATTGCTGGAACAATTGCATCATCTCAACCATGCTTATCGATTTTCACTGCAATACTTCCTGGACATCTTTAATTTTGTCCTTCACCACAACCATCACTTGACGAACAAAACCGACTATCAAGAACGTGGAGAGATTATCCTGAAGGACATCTTTGTTGAGACCTATAGACGCACGTCACTATCACTCCTACAAAAAGATCGAATCACCCTTGCTATGCTTCTCGTTAGAGCCATGCCTTACGAGCTCGATCGATCAGTACTCGAATTGGTTCTTGACGACCCTCTCCAGTCTCGTGGCGGCAACCCATCCGATTCTACTCCAGATGATGTGCTAGCTTCTGTTCGAAGACAGCCTGTCTTTGATCAATCTTTGATCGATCCTTCAAGCTCAAGCTGGAAGCAGTTCATGTCCGCTGAACGTGCCGAGCATTGCGTCCCAATTCTTTGGGCGGAGCAAGATAATGCTGTCAACGAAAACTTGTACAGATTGCTGCTAGTCAAACTTGCACGACCTGACAGGTTTTTGCCTGCCGCTGAAACCTTGGTTGGTAGTGTGCTTGGTCCAGAAATTTTCCAAGGAAGCGACGATCTAGGTACCATTGTTCAACAAGTGAGAAGTGAAACTCCCATTGCACTATGTTCGAATCCTGGGTTTGATGCGAGCTACAAAGTCGATGGTTTGGTTGAGAAGCAAAATGCAAGTTGTGCCAATGTTGCCATGGGATCTGAAGAGAGTGTTGCAAGTGCCGACAAAGCAATTACAAGTGCTGCGGCAAATGGCTCGTGGGTGTTGATCAAGAACGTTCACCTTGCGCCCCAATGGCTACAGAGCCTTGAGAAACGAATGTCAGCACTCAAGGCACACAGTGATTTCCGATTGTTCTTATCCATGGAATCAAGTCCCAAAATTCCAGTCAACCTAATCAGAGCATCGAGATCTCTGGTTTATGAACAACCAGCAGGTATCCGTGCCAACATGAAGGATACCCTGACGGTACTTTCCGATCGTGGAACACGAACGCCAGTTGAGAAGGGCAGACTGTACCTACTCTTGTGTTTCTTGCATGCACTTCTGCAAGAACGATTGAGATATGCACCGACTCTTGGATGGAAAGGACTTTGGGAGTTCAATGATAGTGATTATGAATGTTGTTCATTCATCATCGACTCGTGGATAGATTCGATTGCACAGGGAAGATCAAACATTGCACCTGTCAAACTACCATGGGACCTGATCCGTACTTTGATCACAGAGATGTACGGAGGCAAAATCGATGACGAAGGAGATTTCTTGTTACTGAAAGGTATTGTGGGCAGAATCTTCGACCCGGCCGCTTACGAGAATGACCATGAGCTCGTGTCGATCCCTGATGGGGAGTCTTTGAAGGTCCCTACAGGCACAACGATACGGGATTTCCTGGGATGGGTCGACAAACTTCCCGAGCGTGAGCCACCCACTTATCTTGGGTTGCCTTCGAATGCAGAGAAGCTTCTGTTGATGGGCCAAGGACGTGAGACCATCAGCAATCTAGCGCGTATTACAGATATGCTTGAGGAAGGAGAGCAATCGGGTTCGGGAGAGAAGAGCGAAGAGTAACTTGTTGGCTTGCTGGCTGATTGATAGGGGTACTGGAGGTTGATCTTCGCATGGGGAGTGGTCATAGAGGATTATGATTATTGTTGGGGATACAAAACACAGGTTCTGCTTCCAACGAGACGCTTGGTGTTGGGGGAATGAGCATTGGGTGCTTGCTTCGCTACATACATAGTATTGAACTACCGAGTTAGTTAGCGCAGGGCGTTGATGGCGTGTGTTTAGCCTGGGTGGTTGGGTATATCAGCCCGGTCTTTCAGCCTCTAAGGCTGAAAAATTACAGTAGATTTTACTCCTCAAAAAGACCATGACTTGATGGTTGAGAAAATTGCCTTGACACTCTATGTAGGTCTAGGCAATTCTCGTGCCAATAGATGCGTGACGACAGAATAAAAATTTGTATTCTCCACTCCAAGGACGCTATGCTGTTAACGCTCTATATTTTACGAATGCGATGCTCAAAAACCCCCGCTATGCCATCAGTCCCCATTCCAATGCAATCTGAGAAAAAAGAGCGTATGTTCTTCAAAACAAAGAATCCAAACGCCAAGTCAAGACAATTTGGGCATCAACTGGCCCCAAGTCCTCACGAGGCTCCGAAGTCGTTTAAGATGCCATGCAGCCTTGGATGGCCCAAGTCGCCTTGCCGTCAAAGTTGGCAACGTCAACGTTGAGTCCGGTGGGCTGGGTCATGGCCTGGCAGAAATCCGAGTAGATTGTCTGCCAGTTGGAATCGACAATCAAGCTGGTGATGGACGGATAGCCCGTCGGCACACCGACAAGGTTGCCACCGGGAGTGCAGAGCGGAAGCTGGATGTCCAGGTCTGCTCCTGAGGGGTCAGTCGTGGTGACTCGCACACTGTTATAGCTACCAGAGCTAGGTTTCATGACCTGCTGGCACTGTGTCTCAAACTGGATGGTGGTCGGGGCGCAGACGTCGCCGGCGGCCAGGTCGTACTCTCGAGAGGTGGTGGTGGTGAGGGTGGTCGAGTTGGACCAGTTGGCCATCTGATCGCCGGTGATGGTGGCAGAGGCCGACGCAAATCCGACGTTGAAGCCTGCCGTGAGCGATGCACCCAGATGCCAGCCCTCGGAGGTCATGGCGGTGGTGGTCTGCGAGAAGGTGAAGGTTTGCTTGCAGCCGTTGCTGTCATTGCAGTCGAACAGGTCCTGGTGGTCGATGATCTGGGGATCCGACAGGTGGCAGTTGCTGAGGCTTGTTTGATAGACTAGATTGATCACGGCAGACCGGTCGAGTTGGTAGGGTTGATACTGGCTGTCGTTGAAATGAATCGTTGCTGGAATGTCCACCGTGACATAGCTTGATGCGTAGCCGGTGGGCACTTTCCAGGCCGCCGCGGTCTTCTGCGCACAGGTGTAGACATCGTCGTCTACCGTGCAGGCTGACTTGACCTGAGCTGGGCCAGGGTTCGCGTAGTCTGTTCTTTGTCCGTCGACATAGTAGACGGATGGTGTCGTCTTCTTTCCCGTGGAGCCACTGCTGTTGTTGGCGGTCATTGGAGCTGCAACTGCTAGTGCTGCAAGTGCGCCAGATGAAATAATAGCGGTCTTCATCTTTGATATTGTTGTCTGAGTCTGAGGAAGAGATAAGTAGATGCTTGTTCGTGGTTTTGGTACCGAAGAGTTGTTGAAGAGGTAGGAATAGTTGTTGGTGGTGTTTGTTACTGCTGGTGATGTATTGGGTTGTTGAGGATATAGGCTGGACAACGCAGTGGTCTATATAGTCTTTGAACATTATGAGATCGCCGTTCTTCATCACGACCGACGATATAAACATCCATGATCTCTCCGCGAAAACGCCAGCGACGTAACAGTGACCTCTAGCAAGGCTGAGCGCTCCTTGTTAAAGGTTAACTGGTAAGCTAGTTCGAATGTGGCAAGTTCTCCCATACCGGGCGAATCACTGGTTCCCTTGCGGCCTTTTTAAGACGTAGAGTAGCCGAAAAGGGATAACTTCTGGTGAACTCCTCGTATAAAGAAATGTCAATAACACGAGCGCGCCACAGCCTCCTCACCTCCAGCTCAGCTACGAACTTCGACGTCATCATTTTTCCTCAGACTTGGGCAACTGCTACGGTATGATTGGTAGTAACATGATTCGAGATGGGAAAATAAAGCCGATGGCTCACATCAGGCTGAAGTTATTGTAGCTATGTCAGTTCGTATACAGTGTTGCTTCGAGGCGTTGTTTTCTAAGGACCAGGGGGGAAAATAGAATTGGCTCAGGAGGGATGGACATCGGACCACCAAAATTAGGAGCCTCGCCGCTGTGGATTCCTCAAAACACGAGCCTCCCATAAATTCTCGTATTAACGATGGTGTGGCATTCATCATTTCGCGTTACCAATAGAGCTTTTATGGCCATGCGAGTTGTAGGGTACAACTCGCCGCGGCTTTTAAGCCTCATATACTAGAATTCCTGTATACACAACAGGTTGTTTTCGATTAGCACTCGACGCCCAAAATATACATGCACCGATAAACCTACTCGTGTCAACTGCGGTACTTACATCGGTTCTAAGGCAGCCCCAGGAGAAATTGACGATGCAACCCCTAATACGAGAAGGAGATTATTTAGAAACTGTTGAAGTGAGGCACGACGGTTGTATCAGGGCTAAAGAAGCTCAGAAATAAGTTGGATGGATAGCTAGCCTTTGTATATACCATGGGAACGCCGCGGAGGATGGTAGCTTGAAATGGTTTTAAAAGCGGCATGTTTGCCTGCACGTGAGCTTCGGGCAGATTGTTTCGACAAAGCCGCCTGGGTGAATGCGCCAGGTGTTATGTCCACGGCTCAATTACTTTGGAAACAAACGTCTACGGATACTTGGTAATTCTACCAGAGCCTTACTGTCCAATCAATATCTTTTGCTGTCTGTCCTGAATGCAGAGTAAGAAAGAAAAAGCCCGCCACTATTCCACCATGCCTTCCTGACTCTTCTGACATCGGTTTAACACTCATCCACCCTCAATATCTACCCTTTTGTGGTCGGCTATATACATGGCAGCCCAGGAAGATTTGGTCATTGCCTCCGCGCGGAATAATTCACAATCAATCGGGATGGTACCTGCCCCTACAATCGCCTCGCCGGTGGCCTCCTTTCCGCCTCTACAACTCGATATGGCCGTCGACCTGACCCCCACGATCGCAATCGATCCCATTGCCTTGATCACCACCGAATGTATAACAATTACCTCGGCTATGCGTAAGCATGCACGCTGGGCACAATCCTCGGTCTCAGCCATTCTCGGGGGAGGCGCCTCTCGAACGCAAGAGAAGGAAATACAACGGTCGGGCTCTCAGAGTCGTCGAGGAGGAGGGAAAGGTCCTGGCCCTGTCATCTCTGACCCCGGGAAAGCCAGGCTGGTTGTGCCTAATGCCTCGGACGATGAAAACGCCAGTCTGGCCAGTCGATGGGGTCTGCGTGGGAAGAAGGGAAAGAGCATGCAGGACAATCCACTTCTCACGGCTTTTGCCCGCTTGAGGAGAGATCTCGCTGGTTGCAGAGACGTTTCGACTGTTGATGCACCGGAGCTACTGCATCCGTTTCTGCAGGTCATCAGAAGCTCGTCGACGAGTGCGACGATTACGAGTCTCGCCGTCATCTCCATTACCAAGTTTCTGTCCTACAATATCATCTCCATCAAGAGTCCGAGGATCGCTTTGGCTATGCATCTACTGAGTGCGGCCATTACACACTGTCGTTTTGAAGCTAGCGACACATCGGCCGACGAGGTTGTGTTGCTACGGATCTTGAGGTTGATGGAAAGCGTGATTTCGAGACCAGAAGGCCAACTACTAGGTGATGAAAGCATTTGCGAGATGATGAGCACGGGATTGAGCATGTGCTGTCAGGCCCGCCTGTCCGAAGTGCTCAGGAGGTCCGCGGAGATGGCCATGGTCACGATGTGCCAGGTCGTCTTTACCAGACTGAAGTTTTTGAACATCGAGGAAGTCCCACAGACTAGAAGTCGGTCGAACACCAAAGTTACTCTTTCTGGTACCGGCGAAGACCTGAAGATTGAGCCTCCCATGTCTGGCAGCGTCATGGGCAACGGTGAACTTGAGCGTCCAAGTGTCGACGTCGAAGGTCGGTCTAGCGCCGAACCTGGTGCGGAACCAAGAGATCCTTCCGCTGTTCCTCAGACGACAGTACCAGCAACTGCGGAGGACGAGTTTGAGAACGTGGAACCTTACTCTTTGCCTTCTATCAAGGAGCTGTTCAGAGTGTTGATTGGCCTGCTCAATCCACACGATAGAACGCATACTGATCCCATGCGGATCATGGCACTGAGGATTATTGATGTTGCTTTGGAAGTTGCAGGGCCTTCTATAGCTCGACAACCCACCCTTGCCGTATTTGTGCAAGATGACCTTTGTCAACATCTCTTCCAACTTGTTCGGTCGGACAATTTGTTCCTTCTAGACAGCTCTCTGCGTGTTGCGGGCACATTACTCGCAACCTGCCGTCAACTGCTGAAACTACAGCAGGAACTATTTTTATCATACTTGGTGGCATGTCTACACCCCCGTGTCGACATTCCACAGGAGCCAGGAATTGATCCATCGCTATACGAGGGTGTCCCCTCAGCTCCGAAATTGGTTAAGCCATCTCCTTCTCAACCCCCTAGTAGGGCGGCCACTCCTGTACCGGTACAGGATAGGAAGAGGTTGGGGCTTGAAGGGGGGACTAGAAGGCCAGAAGCCCGGGAGGCCATGGTTGAGGCGGTTGGGACATTGGTGCGGATGCCGACATTCATGGTCGAGCTTTTCTTGAATTATGATTGTGACGTCGACAGACAAGATCTTTGTGAAGACATGGTTGGACTACTCTCGAGAAACGCATTTCCTGACTCGGCAACGTGGAGCACAACCAATGTTCCACCGTTATGTCTCGATTCTTTGCTGAACTTTGTATCATTCATGGCTGACAGGCTTCATCAACCTATACCAGAAGGCACGAAAGAAAGGGTAGAAAAGATACAAAAGCAAAGGATACAGAAGAAAATCATCAAGATCGGTGCTACAAAATTCAATGACGACCCGAAGGCAGGTGTAGCCTTCTTGGTGAAGAACGGAATTATCAAGGACCCAGATGATCCATTGCAGATTGCACATTTCCTAAAAGGAACTTCCCAAGTTTCCAAGAAGGTTCTCGGAGACTTCATTACCAAGAAATCCAATACGCGGCTGTTGACGGCGTTTATTGGTCTCTTCAAGTTCGAGGACAAGCGAATTGACGAAGCGTTGCGAGAGATTCTTGGAACTTTCCGCCTGCCAGGAGAATCTGCATTGATTGAGCGAATTATCAACACGTTCACCGAGAAGTACTGCGAAGAGGTGGCTCCTGAAGAGATAGCGGACAAGGATGCTGCTTTTGTTCTTTCATACGCGGTCATCATGCTGAACACCGATCTCTATAACCCCAATCACAAGGGTCAGAAGCGAATGACAGCGGAAGACTTCGGAAGGAATCTTCGTGGAGTCAACGCTGGAAAGGATTTCTCCCCGGAACTTCTCCAGGACATTTACGACGCAATCAAGGAGAATGAGATCATACTTCCGGATGAACACGACAATCAACACGCTTTCGAGTATGCTTGGAAGGAGCTGTTGATGAAGACCACCGATGCCGGAATGCTCGAATTGTGCGACACAAATGCCTTTGATGCAGAAATGTTTAAAGCGACTTGGAAGCCCATTGTTGCAACGCTATGCTACGTATTCATGTCGGCCTCGGACGATGCAGTTTTCTCCCGTGTGGTCGTCGGTTTCGATCAATGCGCTCAAATCGCAGCCAAATACGGCGTCACCGAGGCTTTCGATCGGATCATCTACAGCATCAGCCAGATCAGTGGTCTAGCAGCCGAGATTCCTCCAAGCACATCACTCAACACTGAGGTTCAAGTTGGAAAGAAGAGGATTATGGTCAGCGAAATGGCCGTGCGTCTCGGACGGGATTTCAAAGCACAGCTGTCTACCGTTCTCCTATTCAGAATTCTATCCGGCAATGAAGATGCAATAAGCGGGACGTGGATCTATATCGTGAGGATTCTACGGAACCTGTTCGTTAATTCATTGATCACTTTACCAACGATTGAGGGGAGTCGGCTTTCAGCTCTCGATTCCATTCCACTGCAACCACCCTCACAGGTCATCGATAGAGACGGAAGGCTGGGCGATAGTGGCATCTTTTCGACCTTCACATCCTACCTCTCCAGCTATGCTGCTGATGATCCACCAGAGCCTTCTGAAGAGGAGCTTGAGAATACGCTCAGTTCTGTTGACTGCGTTACAGCATGTAACGTCGATGGTGTTTTACGACACATTGCTGCTTTACCCACGGCTCAGATCAAGACTCTGGTAGCAGCACTTCTTTCACAGGTGGAGGACTCAACTCCAGTTGTCACTGTTAAACCAGAGCGTCCGATCCCTGTAACCGCCCGGGTGAATGGACATCGCATGCCAAAGGCTGGGCCAGAATATGACCCCGGTACAGTGTTTCTTCTTGAGTATGCGACCCTACTCACACTGAGGGACGAGGGGACGATAGCTGCAGCCGGTGAAGGTTTGACTGGGACGCTTCAAAATTATGTACGAGATGCCGCCAATCTACATCCTCTCGCGGCCTCCAGAATTGTTCATTATTTGCTGGAGTTGTTACGGCACAGCTATGTAAGTCTTGTCAAGATGTTGATCTCTCTCACAAACTAACGTCCAGCAGACCAACGATTTCATGCGGGCACCGGTGGTCATGCATGCTATCTCCAGTTTCGACGACAATGTATTAGACCGGACAGCAGCCACTGTTATGCAAGGTCTCGCGCGCATCATATCGCAACCCGATCCTCTACGCAACGAAGTCACCAAATCACCAGACTTCTGGTCCACCCTTCAAAGACTTCATCAGCACAAGACCGAAGCTGAGCATGTCTTCGAAATCTTGACCACACTAGCCACTGCTCGACCATCAGCCCTGACGGCTGACAACTACGAAGCCACAATCGCGCTCGCCAACGACTTCGCTTCCGCCGGCTCCATCGGATCGATCCAGGAGAAGCGAAAGGACTTCGCCGCCAAGCGCGGTCATCAAGCCAAACCTGCCCGACCCGAAGACCTCGTCGTCGTCCAACGGGCCATCAAAGCCATCAGCTTGATCTACCAACTCACAGACCTAACCCCAACGCTCATCTCACAATCCCATCTCGAGCGTCAAGAAGCATGGGCAGCAGACTGGAGCCCGGTCTTCCGGGCCCTCTGCGCGCAATGCGTCAATCCCTGCCGCGAAGTCCGTCATCGCGCACTATCCGCCCTCCAACGCGTCCTCCTCGCCGACACCGTCGCAGACCACGAATCTCACACCGAGTGGACCGCCATCTTCGACGAAGTGCTCTTTCCACTAACACTCCGTCTCCTCAAGCCCGAGATCTACCAGCTCGACCCGCTCGGCATGAACGACACACGCGCACAGGCCGCGAGCATCCTGTGTAAGATCTTCCTGCGCTATCTCGACAGACTTGCGGGCTGTGGCCGCCTGCCAGACGTGTGGGTCAAGGTCCTTGAGCTGTTGGATCGTCTCATGAATGCCGGAACCGAGACGGATGCGCTGGCCGAGGCCGTCAGAGAGGGTGTCAAAAATGTGCTACTTGTTATGGATGATACGGGCTATTTGGGCCGTGATGGCACTCCCGCTGCTGGTATTGAGCTGCCGCGCGGTGAGGTGTCTGTGCCTACGAGAGGTGGCGATGGCGCCGATGACGAGCCAGAAGACGGGGATGGGGATGATGGAGAAGACGAATCTGGAGAGGAACGTCAAGAAAAGCAGAAGAAGAAAGACGGCCAACCGGCCAAGATCGAGGTCTGGGCCGAGACAAACAGGCGCCTGGATAGATTCCTGCCTGGGCTCATCGAGGAGTTGTTCCCTGCCCCGAAACCTGACCTCGCTCCTGCGGTTGACGCTAACCCCCAACCTCCAGTATCTGAAAGGACACAGGCGGTGGCAGAAGAAGGAGATTCTGCTGCCACAGCACAGCCGAGTGCAATTCCTCTGCGTGGGAGTTCAGGCCGTTAGCTGGTTAAGCCATAAAAGCATGGGGTGGTCAAGAAAGTCGCTTTGAAGCAGGAGCAGGCGTACCAGGCGGCGCCTTCTATATAGCATTAGTAACGGATCGCAATTAGTAGCTAATGCCAAATGTGTATTGTACTGTATCATGTTGAGTTCAATGCAATCTATCTGCTGTCGACCGGCCGGCCTGCGATGGACGGACGCTCCCAGTACAATGTCCTGCAAGCTGCGATGGTTGCCTCTGGTCATGCATGCTCAGAGTCCACCTAGACTTCGTATGTGAAGTGGAGCTCAGGCTATGTCAGAACAGAATAGAATTGGCCTCATTCCTGGTGCCCATCGCAGCTTGGAGGGAGGGTGAGGTTCTAGCAATTCGCTCTGGTGAATCGTCGTCGCTGAGCTGGGTTTGGAGCAAGCAAAGCCCAATCCACACTCAGGACACTCCTATTGTGTGATTCTCTTGCACACCACAATATAATCGAGTCTCTCTGTGAGCCCCCTTGTCCTGCCGGCGCAACGGAGTATGTCAACGAATCAATTCTTCTGAAGACCTCACATGCTCTGCTGGTGTCATCTAAACCGAGCGCACCAGCATGGTGTCAAATCAACCCCGTTCATAGCTCCTGTAGCAGGCTTCCAGTTGTGTTGGGCCCATTCTCAGTGATCTCAACAGAGCCTGCTTGCTGCTTGCCTACACCTTTCTTCTGCTGCTTTTGGACGCAGTCGCATTTGTATTTCTCCCTAAATTCCTCCGTCGTCAAATTAACCAGGACTTTCAATGCGGAGTTGCTCGCCCGAGTTCTAGCATACCTAATGCTGCTGCCTTTACTGATTGGTTCGATGATTTTCCCATGCACGACCCAACCAACATGCATTTCGATGCCTGCAACTGCCTCATCTCCAGCCTCATCAGTATCAAGTCTATCACGGGTGGAAGGTGTGGTTAGCTTGGTGATCACCTCCGGAGAACTTTTCTGACATCTGAATTGCTCTTTGAGCAAGCGGAACAGAAATGTGGTTGGATGTCGATTAGCAAAGCTGTCGTACGCCCGAATATCTCTGAAAAACTCCACCACATGGTTGTTGAAGAACTTCTCGATTTCGCAGAAGTCAAATCCGGAGTCGACAAGCACAGCTCCAAGGTAACTCTCCACTAAATCTGCCAGAGCTTTTGGTGGCGATCGGGGCGTCTTAGTCCAAAAGTCCGGCTTCACTCCGTCGACCTTGGACGCCTCATCGAACCATGTAGCGTAGGCCGCAATTTCGGAAAACAGGGACGGGGTTGCGGCTGAGATGAGTTTGTTGAATCCTAACGTGACTGCGAGTGCAGCCAAGAACTTGTTCGATACCATTGCCATCTTGTGCTCCGTGAGCCATTGAGGTCCTCGAGTTTCATTATTGGAGAATAACCACCATATACAAACCCAATCAAGGCAAGCATCTCCGAGAAACTCGAGGCGTTGCAAGTCAGGCACAGTAGAGTGTTGGTCGGAAGAATGTGTGAATGCCGAGCGCAACAAACGTGGATGTCTGAAACGATAGCCTGTGATAGTAAAGATTTTCTCCGCCAGATCATGTGCAACTGGATCTTTTGCTACCAGACTCCATCCAGGAGCCTGGTACATGGGAGCGACTTCCTTCCAAGTGGTTAGGTCATGATTTTCATCTTCCACTAGTTTGGTGATAGCCTGTATTCCAAGGTCGAACTTTTCAGCAGTCGGCAAATGTTGTGTGGTCATGATTGCAGCTCCAATCACTGCTTCGCAGACATCTGCAATTGTCTTTTTCCCCAGCGCATGGCTGCGTTGTTTGTTTGTCAAGTTGATGACACGGCCTTTGATCTGCTTCAAAAAGTCTGGATACCAAGTGTCTCGCCACTTTTCAGAAGAGCTAGCTCGGATATACTGGAAGAGTTCGTATTCAGGCTTTGAGGCTACTGAGAATAGTCGGCTGTTCGATAACATTTCCATACGCTTGCAATGCATGCCTTCTTCGTTGCAGGTCGTACGGTTGTATATAGTGATTGTTGTCATCATTTTGAGCAGAGAATCACCAATGAATTCCAGACGCTCATAGTTTGAGCTCACTCTTCGGTGAGCATCGATACTGTCATCCAAATCAACGACGTCATCGTCAGGCGCATCTCTATCTCCATCGGCTTCTCCTTTGGTGTCTTGCGTGAAAGCTTGAAGGCCAAGGTCAAGTGGTATCTGAGTCAGCTTGAGTTTGAGCAAAGCTTCGCTAACAATGAGGAAATTTTCCAGCTTGTGAAGGACTGCAGGCCAGAGCTGGAGAGTGCGGGCATTCTCTGCAGAGATTCTACCAATTTCTAATGGCTGTGGTGCGATGTAGCACAAGGCCATTCGAGTTTGGTCTTCTGATACCTTCTCCAACCAGTTTCGACCAGACACAACCAGAGTGGCTTCAAGCACAGGCTGTTCAGAATCGTACCTCTCGGCGAATGATTTTATTTCTCCATTCTTTCGGCGCCATGTGCTATCGGTAAACTCAATAATACTGTCCTTGTGCCTCTTTTTGACAAATGCCGGAATTGGCAGGGCTGGATCCCAGATGGAAACACCTCGGACAACCCTTTTGGTAAAGTAGTGGAAAGAACCATTACCCGGGTCAACCAGATATTTATTCATCCAGTTATCACCTTGGAGTGCGTGATTAGGATGCATCCAACGCTCTCTTGCCAATTGGTGCCCCTTTCTGAGCTCTTCGGCGTCAACCAAAGAATCAAAAGTTGCTTCCTTCGATTTACTCGCCGCCCGCGGATGGTTCGAGTTGCGTGAAGCAGGGGCTAACCAATAGCTCATCATACGGGGATCTGGTTCGTAAACCTTCCGGAAAATATCTTCAAATACTGCATTCAGCGTAAACTTTGTCAAGCTTTCGACCTCTGCAGCAGAAATAGCAATCGGCTGAGTGAGACTCTCAAAGCCCACACGATACTCGACATTGTCCTGTAAGAAGACTGGAAATTCTGGTATGACTGGTAGTATTGCTCTTGTGAACAGTATAAAGCCACTGCTTTCGAGGCGATCGGTGGGTAGATATACATCCACAAATGTTGCAAACACCTCCATTGGTACCGTCGAAGTGGTTCCAGTCTGAAGCCAGAAGTCAGGTTTCAGTTTCTTCTTGTAGTCGTCCTTCTGCTCAGAGACGGCAATTCGTGCGTTCAAGTTATCTGGCTTCACTTTTTGGAAAATGCTGTCCAGATTTTCATCCAAAAGTTGCTCATGACGCAACCATACACAGCATTTCCATGCAGCAGAACACCTGGCGAGGACCTTGCTGGCCTGGGGCTCACCAACAGCTCCTCGGACGCGCATCGCCATGTCGTTGTCTGTGCTGGGAAGGATCACTTTGTAGGTAAATCTCTTGTCCATGACGTCGATATCGATCATTTCCACATACACTTCCGCTGAAGTCGCACCTATCCTCCTCAAGGACTCTGCATATCGCTTGAGTAGTTCCAGTGAATTGCCGAGATTGGCAACCATGCCTGAAGATGTTATAAAGCCTTTGTTTCTCTTCTCCGCTCTGGCGAGCTGCTGCTTTAAATGGGTTCCAATGCCTAATTTTCGATCGGGGGAAAGATGCTGGCAATACTTTCTGATGTACTTCTCGTCCTCGATTGTTTTTCTGACATGGTCCATCCGATTAGAGTTATTCTCCTCGACCATATGAGCGTAGATTGAATCTGTCGCCCGCGCACGGCCTCGCGATTGCATGTATTGGATTGTCGTTTGGTATAAGTCAAAACGGACGACAAGGTTGCACTGAGGGATATCAATGCCTTCTTCGACCACCTCCGTAGCAAACACTATATTGATTTGCCCATCGCGAAACTTGGCCATGATTCTTTGTTGATCTCTCAATGATCTTGCATTATCGGTACCAGTCAGGAATCCAGGTCGCATATTTTCAACCTCCAGTAATTGAAAACATGCACATAGCGTGGTTACGGATAGCTTCTGCTGAACAAAAACAATTGTCTTGGTGGCGGGAGCGATTGAATATTGATACTTTAGTTTCTCGTAGAGCACACGAACCTTGGGCGAAAGGTCGAACTCACTCGCAACATTTGGTTTCTTAAAGTTGTGATGCCTGACGAGAGAAACTGCGCTTTGAACCGAGCGCAGCAGTCTGGCTTTCTCCTCCGTTCCCGAATGGATGTAGAGCTTGGTCCGCTCCAGGTACATGATGGCTTTGAAATCTTGGTGTGACTCATGAGCCGAGGTGAAAACTTGTTTCCATACCCTATCCGCTGCCCAGTGTCCAAGATCTCGTTTTGCGTAAACCGAGAAAACAAAATACTGCTTGAAATCGTCGACGAAGCCACAACGTTCTCGCAGGGAACGGCACAGGTCTGTTTCTGAAGATTCTCCAGGTCCCGTTTCGCCCTGGAATTGGATGGCAGGGTACACCCAGACGTCGTCCTTGGCCCGGGGGGCATATTTGGTCATGGACAAATTGTCAGTGGTTACTATGTGACTTTGCAGCATGTACTCGAGGTTTTGGAAGGCTTTGCCAACGTCGCCTTTTCCGTCCACAGGAGACGCAGTCATGCCAAAAATGTGTGGTTTGCGACCTCTTGCCGTCATGTAATGTCCTTCGATGATCCTTGCATATGGGTGGCCCCCTTTGCAATGATGAGCCTCATCGAAGATGAGAAGAGATATTTGGTCCATGTCATAGTATGCATGGTCGAGACAATTTCGAAGGACTTCTGGTGTGCAGACAACCACATGGTTCTCGCGAAAGATTTTCGCCCACGGTGCTCCTTTCCATAGATCCTCACCAGAATCGCCATAGAGAGATATGACAGGGTTCGGAAGGTTGTTGGTGAGAAAGTGAGCTTGTTGTTGAGCTAGATGAACAGAGTTGGCCAAGAAGAAAACAATCCGATGTGCTTCTCCTTCGACATGATTCATGAGCTCCAATTCGAGAAAGTGCTTGATCAACAAAGCAGCAATGAGAGTTTTGCCGCTCCCCGTGTCAAGGACCGCAATTATGTTTTTCTCCTTCGCTCGATCAAAGAGTTCCTGTTGATAATCACGGACTTTGCCCATGAGACTTTCCTGTGGTACAACGCCACTGGACTGAGATGGAAGCTGATCATTTTGCAGTTGTTGGATGACTTGAGTTTGGACATAGTCACTAAATGCCGAAGAGTTCTGTGTTTCCTTTGGGTGGTTCGAGTGTGTAGATATGACCGACTCCGCATCACTGGTCTCATCCGAGCTCTCAAAATCGATCAGTGGGGCTACATCTACGTCCATCTTGATGAGATAATCTTGTGAACCAGATTCCTGAGTGAAGCGAGACGAACACCGTCAGGGCAAGGGGTCTTGACTGCGTTGTCAAAGCTGGAAAGGATCCCGGCTTGAATATGAGTCCAAGACAGCAAATCAATACGGGACTTCCATAACCGCCATTCCAAGCGATAGACAAAAGAAAGAGGCTATGACTTGTGATTGAGATTGAGAATGAGTAGGAAGAAGGGAGTACTTGAGAAAGCAAACAAGAGAATGTAGGTTGGTTACACAAGATTTATAACCTGGGCCAAGAGCGCATGTGAAGAAACAGTTCACCTAGGGTACCTACCTCACTTGACTCATCGTGCTTTCGATTCACTTTCTCTCAATTGTAATTCATAGTTTGGTCAGAAGAGGGTGAAAGTTGGGCACATGGAGGACAATGAGGGAAGGAGGAGTGAAGGAGACGGTGATTGCTTATCTGCACGTGAAAAGTCTAGATACCTTGGCCAGAGCCTTGTGGCCTAGATCCCAGGGCAAGCCTTTAACTAAAACATTAACGAGCCCTAGCCCCTGGGCACCCCTGTCAACGGAACATTATGTCATTCTCGTTCACTGCAGGTACCTAGGTAGTCAAATGGTATTTTGGTCATCTCTGCACTCCTGCGCTGCGACACACAACTCCTCCCACCAGCCGTTCGTTGTGTTACAGAACACTTCTCACCACAAAAATGATACCTATACTTGCGGCAATCGCCACTTGCCTTTCCTTGGCCATTGCCCACGGCTCACACTCGCAAGAAGCCCTTGCAGACCCAGCCGAAGATTGGGCTCTCTATCATCTACAGGAAGAACACCGTAAGCAAAGGCAGTGCCCTATCAAACCAGCCATACATTTACTGACGCTTTCGGTTTCCAGATATATCCAATTTCGACGCTCCCTCATTTTTCTCCCTCCATGACTTCAACAACGATGGAGCATGGACCCCAGATGAAGTCCGTCGCATCTACGGCCTGGACGATGAATCTCTCCAAACTACGCCCGCCGAAACCAAAGACCGCGTCGTTCTCGACGTGTTCAAGATATTTGACCCTACTGGCACCGGCCTGATCACACGCGCAGCCTGGGTCGACGCGAGTCGTGCCGGCAAAAAGCTACCAGACTCCAAACTGGGGCCCGGCCACCACGGAGATGACGAATATGAATACGAGATCCACCATTTCGAGAAATTCCACGACGAGAATACACAGATCGAAGATCTGATCCACCCCGAGGATATTGAGCATTTCAGAAAACACGAGATGAGAGAGGATCAGGAAGCCCGGGTCGAGATGGAGCAGCAGCAGAGAATCGTGGAGAGGAATATCCCCCCAATGTTCAGAAAGCCACAATGACGATGAAGAGCTTCGACTGACGATTGGAATGTTGTACGAATACTGCAAAGAGATGGGATGGATATAGAGCCATGTAGAAACAGTTTTAATGGTACGGCTTGATCTGGATATCGAAGACACAATGCATAACCCCTGGTGCATAGGTTTTCACTTCATGAACACCAACACATGATATGCGGTTCTTGGACCCCCTATCCGATAATTTAGTAAGCGTCTCAATCTCATGGACAACCTTGACTTTCCATGCATCAATCTGAATAATATCCACGTTCTCATGGACGTGCAACCAGCTCCCTTTGGCGCGCGCATCAGTCTTCAGGCTCAGGACGGTGGCGTGCTCCCAAGTTCCGCGTGAGCTTGGAAGAAGCCCCATGTTCGCATGTCGAACATTCAAGCCGCGGTGGGAAGGACTCCGGGCTTTCAACTCCTCATGAAGGGCCAACATGAGCGGAACTGACCACTTGTTGTCACCTAGAAATGCGACACATCTGATCTCTGCGCCTCCGCCTATCGTGGTACTCTCGACCCAGATTTCAGCCAGTTCACGAACTGTCATTCCCTGCAGCCGCCCTTCATTGTCGACCAGAACGACCAAACACCTCCATCCATTCGCCTCACATCCCCTCCTGAGACCCTCAATACTCCAAGGATTGATGTCCCAGCCCCAGACGGTCCGAACGTCACGTTGCAGGTAGCAAAATGCAAAGTATCCGATGCCTACATAGAAATCAACCACATCAACACAGTTGACGTCCTCTCCAAGCTCGCTTTGCGCAAGACCTTGAAAAGACGACCTCGATTGTCCCAGACCAGCATCAACGCCCAGTATTCTCGCCTTCTCCGAGACATTCCCACGACTGAACATGGTGTAGATCGGCGCCCAGCACTGCGTGATACCTCTATGCTGCGAGGCCGAGACCCAAAACGCTCGCTCAAAGTCCTCTGTCGCCGGCTTCGAACCACTCTCAGTGGTCTTGGCTGCACCCCAGTCGCCAAAGATGGGAAGCAGGTGGGAAGGGCTGCGTAACACATTCTCTGTCTTCACCGTGCCTCCGCAACTCGCTTCAGCCTGTGCTTGTGCATCGCCGATCTCATCCGCTGCAATCGGAGCGTTGATAGCAACCCGGCTGATTCCCATACCTTCAAACCCACCCTCGACGACATGTCTCAACAACACCGCCTTTTCTTCTTCAGACAAAGCCTCGTAGAATACCTGCCATGGTGGAGAATGCGTCCTGAAGTTATACGGCAACAGCAATAGTGGGGGATAGATGGTAAACCGCTTCGGGAGATCAGCGATCCTCAATGTCGGCTGTTCGTCCTCCTGAGGCGATACATGATCCTGTACAGTGACTCTCTTGGCCGCGAGGAATAGCAGAATCCCTTTCTTCAAAGGATTGGCCTGTTGCTTTGGTCTGCGGTGCCTTGGTCTTGCTTCAGGCATCTCGCTGGAGGAAGCCATTCTTAGTCTTTCGAACGAGTCCTCAAGGCTGTCAGGGCATTTCATCAGCAATCCAGATCGCTAGTTCATATGCCAGCTTCTTGCGGGAATGCATTTGTTGTATTATTGGTCTCTCGAATCTGGGTTGTGTACTAGGTACTTCATTGCGAACTCGAATTTGGGGACCCAATTCATAGGCTCCGAGCCTTGTGTGGTGAGTGACGTCATTACAAGGCTTGGGTGTATCAAAGAAGAGTGGGCGAGACATTCAAACTTCATTCAGCTGCTTGATGCAGCCTCTATGGATGGACTACTATAAGTTTCACGATGCCATGGATCAAGGCTAACGGCTTGGTCCCACTATACGCAAATCAAAGACTTTACGGCTCACTCAAACACGACTGCGAATTAAGGGGAATGCGAATAGATTGCTATTTTCAAGTTCGAGTCCAGAGGTGTATAAATGGCCAGATGATGTTCACAGCTTCACGAGACCCCGGGTTGCGAAGAGATCTTCCAACGCATGTCACTTGGTACCAAGGTTGCTTCGGTCTTGACGATGGATTCAGAAAAACTTGAAGGCTTCCCCAAGATGGTAAGTATTCCAGCTTTGTAACCTTGGATTGTTCTCAGAAGTATGGAATTGCTTTCTGGGCACCCACCTGCTTCTGTAGTAAAAATTGGCGTTTCCTGTTCTCCTTTTTACTAGTCCTCTAGACACATTGCGACAGGATGCTCCATTTCCAAACCACATCCAGCCATGGCCACATCAGTAGGTGTATGACAGGTGCTTCTCCTTCTCTTTCCATGATTTCAGTTATATCCGCCTCGACCCCTGAAATCCAACCAAGCTTCCTTATGATGACGAGGTCTTTCTGAAGCGAATTCGTCTATGCTCATCTTTGCCGCCGGACCACATCCTGCTCTTCCACACCACTCAGCAAGTTCGATCTCGGGGTACAGGGAAGGACCAGTGTCTGCACTTGAGAATTCACAACTCATGGTCTCTTCAGGTTTCAGACAACAAGGGATGCGCCGTGATCCCGACCGCTTGTGGAAACGACCTCGACGCGCTGAAGCATCGAGAGCGAGGCGGAGCGTCCAGAAGCCACTTTGGAAGAAGGCTACATGAGAAGAACATGGCAGCACACGGAGATCGATGGACACCAGCCATCTTTATACTCTTGGAGTCAACCCGCTGCTGAGACACATGTTACATTTTCGTGTGAATGAGGCGATCCACAGTGACTTTTGGTGTTGAAGTTGGGTAAGAGGAGAAGTCAAATATAAATGGTCAACCATGAGGATTGAGCATCACATTTGAGGCCGCTCAAGGGCCGTGCATGCGGATAGTCTCATGATCTGCACAAATGGCTCACAACTTTAAGCATTACCTCCGCTCCGCCCCTCCCACTATCAAACGTTAACAGTTGAGCAGTAAGCGGTACTTTCCGCGCGTTCATGAGGGATGAATTCCCCAGTATTATGGCTTCAACTGGGAAGGCCCAGTCTTGTCCTGGACTTTGAAACGAACGGCCATGTTGACTTTATTGTGCCTCACCCTGGTGATCTGGTTTGCCGATTGGAGGCCACGGCAATCGCGTGATAAACAGTGCATTTAAGCGCAAACCATGCTGGCAGACTATCAGGGAAGTGATAACGCCACCATTGATATGTCTCATATCGCAAGAAATAAAGAACTGAACATGAGATTCCAGACTGACGACGCGACGAACACGAAAGAGTTACAGTAGCAGGCTGATGACTCTCAAACATCAATTGCCAAGTGCGGGGATGCCACAGTAGAGAATGGTGAGCATGGATAGCTTCCATCTTCGTGGAGAAGACATTGCTTGCCGCTGGTGTACCTGGGTAGACGGGCGATTTCACCGACTAACTCGCCAGCTAGAAACGGCACCACCTGGAAGCGGTAGACATGAAATTTGTGAGAGGCTGTGCAGCCTTATCACCACATGATATCCTGCATGCGGATTAAGTCTGTGACTTGAGGCCTCTCTGGCAGAAATCTTGAATCGTTATACCAACAAACCTCCCCTATCAAACGGAGGGTTCACACTCACATAGAAGGCAATGGCGGGCACCTGAGAGATGTCGTTCTCTGTGATCAGGACACATGAGGCAAGTGATGAGCGAGCGCAGAGGGAGACAGAGACATCCTTTCTCGGCAATCGATTTGAAGGCCGGCTAGAAGGGAGTATTCGCCCTTGGAAAGGAGAAGGGGGAGCAGGTACATGTGACAGGTTCAACTTTCACAACGACCCATCAACACCAGAACCTGGCTCGAACAATGGAGAACCTATCCATAGCACATACGGATAGCTATCCTTGACCAGAGAAGCACTCACCTCTGAGATGCCTGTTGAGCTGAACCACAGGCAAATTGGCCGTTCATCCAACTGTCCAGTGCAGTGGCCGGCCGAGCTTCGAGCGCGAAGGGAACATACTTCGTTAATGGCGAATAGCCACCAGATATGAAGGCTGGTAAAAGGCACACGTCAGATCTACTTCCCCGGCCACTCGCATTCCCCCGCAGCCATCCCCGTCGTGCATTGCATTGCATAAACTCCGTATATCTCAGATCAAAATGAGGTCCAAACACGACATCAAATCTGCGTGACAGCACGTCAGAATCGATCCGCCCGCTGCGAGCCCGGGACGGTGACGTGCAATCAAAGCTGCCAGGGCGACTGTTTAGCGCCGCGGTCAGACGAGATTGCTTATCATAGTATTGACATTGATTGATTGAGATGATTGAATTGATGGATCTGGGGTGAGTGACAGGTGTTGGACGTCAGAAAGCGTCAGAGGCGGAAAGACTGGAGCCGCACTTTTGCTTTGGGGCCAAGGGGCGGCTCCGTGTATGTGCGTGTGCGAACTTCGGATCGACGACGCGTTCGGATAACACGAACACGAAAACGAAATGAACATGATGCAAGGCTTCACTTCACCTTGCATGTCCGTGCTGTGGTCCAACTGTTTACAAAGTTACTCGGTATAACGGGTGCACATGTCACATTCTACAGGGTTGGCTAGCTAGTGAACCCGTTTCCTCGTTGAGCACGCTTTCCGACGACCGTCACATCTGACATGGCCATTGCCACAAAGAAAGGAACTACGGAGGGATGTACCTACTCGTAGCCAGACTTTGATTGTTTGCATGTGCAAAAAAACCGAAAGTTTTGCGACCCGCTGTTTCCTGCTTTGAGAGGCAAGGTTTGGACGGTGAAATTGTCACTACGTCAGATATTGTTGGCGGATTCAGAGACAGGGAGGTATTGAACTGCGGATTCACCGAAGTCGACTGAAGTGGTATCACCAATTGCCACCACCTTGAACTTGAAGGATGAGGCTCGGAGATTCACTGGCATGCAAATCGAAGGAGTCGAATTTCAGATACCTACCTAAGCGAGCTTAACGAGGGCGAAATCCTTCTGTGGCAGTGCGCGTGTGGCAGAGCGGGTATTGGCCGTGGCGTAAGATTCATCACATGATCAATCGCACATGTCTTCCCCAAAAGGTTCGGGGTAATCCGAGTCCGGACTCTCTTGGAAGTGGGAAGGGGTCGAGGTCTGCTCGGCCTGCCCCGTTGCTTTGCCGAAGGTGCATCGTCTCTTGCCATGTGGTCCGCAATCCACCATGCCGCACTGCTCCCGCAGCGGTTTGTGGGAAGGGACTAGGGGGAGGCAGGGCAGCCCTAGACTTGCTCCTCTAGAGGCTGGAGCACCTAGAGCACCTAGAACCTGCACCTAGAACATGCACCCGGAACACACCCCAACTTGAATGAAAAAGCAACCAAAAGGTGTCCACTGCAGTTGCCACCCCACACAAATGTCGTGCTCCCTACAATCTCGGCATCCCACAACACCGAGAATGCTACGGATACATTCTGTGGTCGTTCAGGTTGCATCCTAAAGCAAGTAATAATATCCCACGTCTTAGTCGATGGAGACAATCTGGCTCGCAAAAAAAAAGGAGGCCATTTGCTATCTACTGTAGCCTGTAGGTCCATGTATTGGAATGTGAGCACGTTTGCAACCCTCATTGAAAAAAATGAGTCCAGACCGTGGGGGGAAGGAATTGCGGTGAACCGGTAACATTTCGCATTACCGCACGAGGTGACTCTCAAAGCGTGGGCCGAGTTTGGGCTGCCCACGTCTCAATTAACCGCAGATGACAATAACCATTTAGCCAGATTGCAACCTTCGCGGGTGTTCCGCGAAGAATGCCTCAGATGAAAGGAGAGTTTTGCTATTCGTTGCTCGCGGTTATTTCCTGTGACTCGTAATCGAAACATGTTCAGGCAGAGGCAGGTCGGGACGATGTCACAATAACAACAAAACACGAAATTGAAGGATGGATAAAAAGCAAGGTTTTCTGGATGCTTTCCGCACTGTCCGTGCAATACTCGTACACCCCCAGTCGGTCCTGAGTTCGTGAAATGTGGAAGTGTTTCCCGATCAGGGCCTGCAAAGCATGGTAGCAAAAGCCGATGACGCAATCTACCTTCTGAGAGCTCGTATACGGTACCATCATCCAGAGGCAGCTTGCACTGCTGGGTATCTAGAATCTACATTTACCGACAGGTTCAATCGTTGACGACGGGATAAAGCAATCAATGTCGATGCTTCTGCAGTGCCGGTCGCTGTGCCGACGGAGTATCGCGACTCCTGGAGAGTTTGAGGCTCGTGAAATCATGATGTTTTTGAGTCCTCGTCGCGGGCGCGATTGAACTCAGCTGTACTGTTCGGCCAATGACCAGAACATGTGATTCACACATTGCCAACAACACCTGCAGTGTGTTGTTGCCAAGCACGAGGTGTGGGAGAAAAGGCAAACCCACCAAGAAACTCTCCCCCGGAATTTTGTTTACGAGTGTTGTTGTGCTGTGAACGACCGGCGGATAACAAGCCAATTGGCGCGTTTGGGTGCACTTGGTCTCTACTCGTATGATCTCAAGACATTCGAGTCGGTTCAACCGGGCAGACCAAAGTGTAACAATGTATGGTGTGTTGCATCGGCGATGATATTCGGGTCGATATGCAGAATCCTTCCATCAATGAATGACACACTTCACCACAAGGACTTCACAGCCGCGGATAGCGAAGCAAGAACCATTAAGGAGAGTTCAAAGCTGGGGGGGAAGGATTAAGCGCCGGTTTATTCTTTCCCTCGTGTCGAACTGAAGATGCGTGTGTGTGCGGACTTAGGGAAAGCCGCAAGTGAATAGTGTTTCGGTGGGTTTCCGAACGTGAGTGACGATCAATAACAAAAACATTATGCAAAGGCGGATGTTCTGCGAGGGTTTTGTTTTGCAGCGTCCCTAGGACCCTCGGAACTCTGTAGCACGGAAAACATCCGTTTGTCGCCGGTGAACGTCTGGAGTGATCGGCGGCCACCATGAGTCGTTGCTGACGACAGTGTGATGCGATGTCGAATCTTGTTCGCTTCCATCACAACATTCATCCGTTGATGCGCATCCGAGGTAGAATGAAACAATTTTTTCGTAGTGATGATGCGGGTGCATTTGGGCTTCGATTGCCGACCAGTGGGATGTGCTGAGAGCAGTTTGTAGAGATCACACTGTGTCTGGACCTAAGCAGTAAGTTGTTCTGTGAACCGGTTCGAAAGCAAAAATGGTCACCGAGGTTCCTCGGCTTTGAGGTTAGGGGAAGTGCTGTATCTGTCTGTGTCGCACTGACACCTAGAACCATGTAAACTTGCATGTGGAAGGATTCCACGCGACAAGATAGGATCAAACAGCGATCCCCCAGCACAAGGAGTACATATGTAAGTACCTCAGGTAGGCATACCCTACCTGCATTGATGTTAGGTACCTCGTACCAGGGTTTTGTAAGTAGGGGTACCTTAATCTGGAGGCGAGTGTCTCACAATCTTGGGGTAAACCATGGATATTTTGGGCAGCCGAGTTAGACATTGGTTTCAGTGTTTGCCATGTCCACCGTCACAAACTTGGAACATTTCCGACCTCGTTTGATCTGCGAGTTTGCTGAAGGGACGGAATTATTCTGGAGGCGCGGTTGGCAAGTGTGAGACGGTGAGAGAGGCTGTGTCAAGAGCTCCGGAGTACAGAGGCTTGGACGGCTTCGGAGGGGACTATGACTCAGTCGGACAGCGAACATTCATAGCGGTCAGCTTTAATGGACCACATGCTTTCCAAGGGCCACAAGCGGTGAAGCTGGAAGGAAGAACAGAAAGCGATCAAGGACTTGGAATGAGTTTTGTTGGTCAATAATTGTTATTGAATAGGAAATTAATGCTAGCTAATAATACGAATTGGGAGTCATATATCGACTCGACCAAAGAACTGCCCAAAATATGAAGCTCTCTCGATGGAGGCTAGGGTATCGTAGACACATGCTCCATGTTCCCATGTCCATTTCAACATTCCTCGTGAGGAATGGATAACAATGCAGTAGTAGACAATGCGCTGAAAACGTTCAAAAATGAGAAGTCGCTGCACTCGCTTGCTGGTAAGACAGACAGACAGATTAAAATTAGATTCCCAGATAGATCTTAGGTCAGGGACCAGCCCTTGCCATAAGCCGGAGTAGACACCTATTGAGGTCCGTTGAGGTGACTCAATCCACGTCGAGTTGAAGTCTGACGACGCTTGATGGTGCTGGGTCTTCTTGAGGAAGATTCACCGTGGCTTGCAAATCGAACGACCTTGCGTTTTGGCTCGGTTGCATGAGCGAAAGCACTGTGTTGAGAAGCCTCCTTCTCCTGAATCTCACGTAGAAGAGCGATTTGCTCCTCAGTGGTGAGCTCCTTTTTGGGAGAGATGCTTGGGATGGTCTCAACTGGTAGAGAGAGGTCGTCGATGGGGCAAAGAAGGTCATCATCTGAGAGGTAGGAGTTTGCCTCGGTACCAAAGGATGATTGACATGATCTGTATGGGCTGGGAAGCCAACTTGAATTGCTGCTGTCACGTCGCATAGCAATAGATGTGCGAGGCGAGGAAGTGCAGGATGTTTGAGAGGTGGTGGTTGAAGTGTTGCTATCAGACCGCACAAGAGGATGAGCAGTCATCCATGAGGATGAAGGTGAGGCGCTCAGGAGTGCGGTATAAGCAGTTGTTTGTGCGTATGAAAAGCCATTGGACATGGAGCTTGTCGAGTCACGAGAATCCGAGCGCGACATGTGCACCGATGTCATAGCCGGTGTAATGTTGGCTGTGGGTGATGAGAAATACATCTTGTTTGTTGTGAAGGGGTTTGAAGTTGGAGGTTGACGATGATGAGGAAACCTCAGGTTGTTATTGTTAACAACCGTACAAATCTGATTGTTGTTCGACGCCAGGGTCTCGCAATGTTTGTTGCAGAGACTGCTTGTGGGTGGTGATGCAATGCTGTGGGTGTGGCGCGGAACGCGAGCGTGTGCCGGCTGAACGCGACTTGTCGATAGTGGGTGATTCAGTGTGGTGACTGTGGTGATGAGTGGTCGGCTTGCCGCGGTGAGTGATGAGATGTAGTGTTGAGAGTGGTTGTTATATGCCTCAAAGGGATACTAGGTATGTTGATGGTATCGAGTGTATATGGATTGGTGGTTGGTAGAGGACTGGGAAGGGCAGGTGCGTGGGTATAGTGAAGTATTAATGTATTGATGCTTGGATCGGAAAATGTACGAGGTACTCGGTACGGATATGGTGGATATTTGCCCCCTTCCCCGTGCTTCTTTTTGATTGAAATCTTATCTGGAGGGGTGGATGGCGAAAATCCGGTGTCTGAGTCGGATGCGACCTCGGTCGGTCCAGGTCGGGCTGGTTTGACTTTGGGAAATGTGGGCTTGCGGGCTTGTGGGCTCCGTCTGTGCTGAGTGGAGCCTGACCCTCTTTGGCATCCACGGTCCTGGTTCCGTCGCCGTGAATAGTCGGGGAGACGAAAGTGGCTGGATGGCGGCGTTGGAAGGGTGGTTTCAAGATTGCGACCCGATCAATGATCAACGCAGGGGTTGAGTGTCAGTATTGATTACGGATATTGGATATTGTTGATGGTGTAGATTGAGGTTGAGAGTTGAGAACTTGAACAGCGGACAGCACAGGACAGGCAGAGATGTTTATGAAAAGCTGGAAAGGGAGGTGAGGCAGCTGGCGAGATCCGGAGGAATGGGCTGTGTGGACAGAGTTGTTGGTTGGTGAAGTGTTGTGTTGGCCTTGGGTTTGTTTTCTAGGCGCAAACGGAATGACTGGTCTACTCGACACGGTGTGGTCACCGCCTGAAGGGAGACAAATGATCGGAATGGTCAAGGCGGGCTGGATCAAGGCTCCTTGGGCGCAAGCCACGGGGGTGCCTCTCGGTGTCTTTTGGTGTGTCTTGACGAGGTGATGGCCTTGACGGGGAGGGTGACAGTGACGGAGTGACGGTCAGCCAGAGCCAGGGTGCCTCCGTAGCAGGGTTAGAAGGCTAAAAGTAGGAGACAGGGGTGACCACTGCAGTCCAGGGTGGTGGACGGCTCCGTCGCGGCGAGGCGGGTGGCTTAGAGAGCCCAAGGTGAGGCCTGTGAAGGTGCGAAAAAGCTGAACCCCACGTTGACTGGGTAGATGTCGGTGACCACACAAACGTCCCACGCGATAGTCTCGGGGCAGATTCGTTGACTCGACTCGACACGACTGGTTGTGATGTGGTTGATGTGATGGTTTTCTTTTGGATGAATTCCAATCCAAACATCCCACGGGATCCTGTTGTCGTAAAAGTATCTCGACAGGACACGCTACCACGGGGGAATATTATTTGATTTTAGCCAGTGATCAGTAACATTTACACCCTCTCCGATGACTACGCAAGCGGACACCTGGAAAGTGAGATTATTTTACCGGATCCGGGAATGAGTCTGCTCTGCGACACACTGGAATTCCCAAATGTAACTCACAAAGACACCAACAAACTTTGGATTTCCCACATGGCTGAACGTCGGCTGCGACCATGGATTGCATGAATTGCATGAATTGCTTTGTCCTCTGCTTTAATCAGCGGGAAGAGTAAGGGTAGCGATTACGCTGACCCATGCCATGTGCGTGTGAATACTGAGTCAGGAAGTATATTGCGATAATAATTGGTGTTTGTTGGCGATTACTTCAGCCCTCCTCGCTCCCAGGTTCCTCAATTGTTCCCCAAGACTTGGAATTGCTAGGTTGGGTAGGCGCCCTTTGGGGCCGAGGGGACCCCCAATGCCACCGCCAGGCTTAATCATTCTTCCCCAGGGCCAATATACCGATACCGAGCACCCTGGCCTCAACCACGTCATTATCATCCGTTCCAAATAACCTGATTTATCACTACATTAATATGTTGGTGCTAGAATCCTGTTTCCCTCTTGTCAGGACCTATGTACCGAGGACGTGATGATGCAAACAGCCCAAGGTAATGGTCATTATTGACTCACTCCCAGAGCATTAGGCATTCTACCAAGAGTTCAATGAATGACTCATGACTTGAGGCGTAGCAAGAAACAGTGATCAATAACAAATGATGCCCAATGCCCCCCCATGTTCCATATCGGCAGGCGTCGGTGTTTGTCGGGCGCCAGAGAATAATAGCCTCGACCCAACCACCAATCAATATTTCTCGTTCGGGGTGCTTCCGTGAGAAACAACAATATTATTGATTTCAGGACACATCCAGTTATCTAACATTCCATCTGTCGACACTTCCCCCGCGTTCGTATGTTTCTGTTTGAGTAAAACTGACAAACTTGAGATGGTCAACTACATTCATCTGGCACCAAAGAAAATCCCTGGAAATTCCTCAAGGACCGAAGAGCTTCCGACCTTGTTCCAGCACAGTCCCGAAATTGAACCGCCATAAGGCCGCCGATATTCTACCAGAGAATGCCCTTCAAGCCAATCAGACCCTCTGGGTAATTGCTACTTGTGTTTCCGGATAAATATGGTTCAGATCGAGGTACCCGATACTTATCCCTTCTGCTTGATCACGTTTTCGGCTCGGTATTCACCCTCTTCACCCCTACTATTTCAAGTTGTCCGAAATCAATCGAGTCGTACTTCGTGTGTCCCAAGCATCGGCCGCCATGTCGACAGCACTACTAACTTCAGCTATGAACTCCGTTGCGAGTATCCTGGTCCAACCCATCTCCCCGTCGCTCTAAAGCTCCCCCACCGGAAGCTTCACTCACTCGCCTGTGGGCTCTGGAGTTCCGAGCGTGAAGCCTACGGTTACCCGCAGAGCTCGAGCATCTTCAGCCCGCTCGTCCAGAGTGACGGGTCATTGACGGGTTCCATTGACCAATCTCGCTTGATCGTGGAGATGCCACACCCTCCAATAGGAACTGACCCATTTCTGACACCGTGTGTAGCGCGATAACCGCGGCAAAGGAAACCCCCTCCAGATCTACCCACCGTAATCCACATCCCGTTTTTCCTGGTGCGAGTCTTTCGGTTTCCAGATACAGTAATGCCCCGGTCGACCACCGTTTCTACCTGCTCCCTGGAGTCCCTCTTCCGTGGAAGCTCAGATTTTTAGGGTTTTCCTTCCACGAGCCCTTCTCCTTCTGTGGGGCTACCACTTGAGACGGAGACGACCAGAGATTGTTCTTTCATTTCGGACCCTCGAACCCGAGGAATACAACGTTTCTGATTCTTGGGGCAAGTTCCATCCTTCCATCTTCCTGTTGTCCAAATTCGTCGTCAACTAGTCAAACCCCCCTGGGCTCGTTGTCCGGGGGAGTTTCTCAAAATCAATCCTGGGACAATTATCCGACATTATTGATTTCTACTTCAGGGGCCTTGCTTGCGTGTTCAGATTGCTCCGCTCACAATCAATCTACCCGGTGGACAGAGGTTGGCCGTAACCCATTCGGTGACTCGGCATCGTCGTTGGTTCAGGCAAGCCGGACGCTGAGTCGATTCATGGCAATCCAAATGGTAGGCCTCGGCAGTAGCACATAATCATCTTTAGCCATTCGTGGCAGTTGATCAACCGCCGAAATATCAAAGCTCCGACGAGCATTGATGTTCTTATTATTACCGAACACCGACTGGTCGCTGCTCGTTCGCTAGCCTGACGGGATTATATCAATTTCATTGGTTGATTCGGTCCCCAATAATGAACCTGGAATATGCTTGCTTGCGAAGAAACCATCTTTGATTACTGTTGCATCGTTTGCCAACCTCGCAAAGTCAGCGAGGTAACGTATACACAGGAAGATCAGGCTGACATTGTGGTGGCAAAAGAACAACAATTATCATGCCTGGGTTTGGTATGCAGGCTTACAGATGATATGCATGACTGCATGATTCGGTTCCACGACCTATGGCGATTTACTTTTGCTAGGGCTGCATTGGCCATGTTCTTGTCCAGCCGCCCTTGGCTGGTCCTACACTCGCTGGATTATAATAGAAGACGTCTGTCCTACTACCACTCCGAGCGCTACCGTCGCTTGGTCTGCGACCATGCTGGCGTAATACGTAGTTGTCGCGGAAAGCCTGGAGCCTGCGGCGGCATATCCCCAAGCTTGACGGGCCATGAGCTTACGTAGGTCTGCACGACGTGAATCATCAGATCTTGATTCTTGACACTTTGGTCGTGATGCTTTGTCCGTCGAGAGGCGGCCTACGAGGTGAACACTGAACACCCGCCGGCGGTCGACCGCGGCAAACCACTGATTGGAGCTTCGACGACACGGTTCAGATTGCTCAGTCCTCTGCCAACATTTCAGGGTCCTCCGAACATCCCGTTCCCAGCGTATCCGTCCTTCGCAGTTCTACTACGAGATATGCGCCACAGAAATGCACTCACGGCATCAATCCAAGAACACCAGCGAACTACCCGGGATGAGTCGTGCGCATCTTCTCATTCTTCAGGATCGAGTGGATGAACGGGATACGTGCGAGCAAATGAGCGTTCATCTACATTATCGTTTATTGAGTACTAGATGTGCACTACGAAAACGTTCCCGTGCGCTTGGTGTTTCCCTGTCCCCGGATTTTCCCATATTGGTGTGTGTGGAATTTCTGGAGTGCATGGACAAGAAAAAACATTTACGCAGACCTCGTATAGCAAGCAGAGAGAATGAACCCTCTCTGCCCCACAGAACGCATCTCGGAGCGCAATTCGCAATCTTCTGGGATGCGTACCTCGTACTGGTCAAAGTGCAAGAGCTCTTGAATCTGGTGTGCTTCGTATTCTATCCAGCGCTTCCAAGGCACACTTCAAAGCCAAACGTTAACCTCGGAAATGGGCCTGGAGGGGTTTTCGGCAGGAGCACTTGAGAAAGCGGACGCTCCCCGCAACAAGACCCTTCTTTACCGCGTAAACGAGAGTGCAGTCTCCCGAAACATACCCACTGCCGAGAGCGAAAGTCGCATGGCTAATTACTTAGGTCTTTGGTCTTGATCCGGAAATCCGAAAGCATCACTTCTGGACTTCTAGTGGTGAAGTCAGCTGAATGCGGACCGCCCAAAGTGATGCCCAACTCCCACACGCTTTGAGATCAGCTGCGCAACGGCAGATGTCCTGTCTCAATTTTTGATGCCAGTTGGAATTGTTTGTTGCCTGCCTAGCAGGTGTTTTGGGCCGACCATGCCTTCCTTTGCCAGCACAGAGATCATGTGCTGCTTCCAAAAGTTCCTGAGGCAGATGACTCAGCCTCCATTTTGCCTGGAATGTTGCCGTGGTCTACTCGTAAGGTATGCCCGATGGCACGTGATATGCTTCTAAAGTGAGGCAACGTGGGGGTTTGTGTGACCGGGCCATGACCTTGTCGATGCAAAGATGCAACATGTGATGGCTTTGCTTCCAGGTCATCCGCGCAAAGGGTTCCCGTGCTCGTTATCGCTCAGATGGAAGAATGATCATTCAAGTTTGGTACTGCCAAACACCAGCAGAGACCTCGCAGGCACGTGATGCAGCCTGGTTTGATCATGTGACTTCTCAATCTAGAAAGTTAGCCGTGGATGGCGAGTGCTGGAGGATGCGAGATTCAACATCATCTCGTCCCTTGTGTCGTGGAGCTCACAGGGGCAAATGCATGATGCAACTCCAGGTCGTTCAGTGCGATCTGATATCCCCAAGAGGTAAGGTCGGTAGTACACCTCTCCTGCCTCAGCAACTCAAGCGTGCAAAGCCAGCTGCTTAACCCTGCCTCTGATGTCTCATGCCCCTGTTTACTGCAAGCCTGGTGTCTTTTTATCGGTGTTCTCGGAGTGCGGTAAGTATGCCTGGCCAGCTTGTGGCCATACTTTACATCGTACAGAAAAATTGTTCGCACGCCTGAGGTCAATTGTTTCCAGCACCGTCTGATCTAAGCGAAGAGGTAACAGTGTGGCGAGCAATGCAGGATTATTCTGGCTTTGCTAATGCGCCTAAGAGCTCGATAAGCCAGTCAATCTCTGGCGCTGGGGAGCCCTCCTAGGGCTATTTATCTTTTGGATGGAGATTTCTACAGTGGATACCTTTTACTTGTGGAGGACAAGACTAGGCTGACATCTGTTCCAGTTTAAATCAGACATAGAATAAGTCACTATCATTCGAGATATCTCAATGAAAAGAGCGTGCTTATCATGAACTGCGTTACACAACCCAAATCAGGTAAACGGCATTTACGCAGAACGAAACTTGAACTGCTGTGGCTGGATTATTGTGCTCTCCCGTCTGACGAGACGTGGGCATATGAAAGCTACTCTGATTCTTGTTGATATATCGTCATCGATGTTGGTTTTGGTTCAACTTATTCCAACGTATTCCAATGCCATGTATGTGGCCACATGGACATACTCTCTGAACCCCAACTCATCACAGTGAAGGACGTTCACCTCCACTTCATATGTGAGTATAAGATAACAAAACTTGATTCTCAATGATAGTATTTGTGGAGTTCCCACATTCTTTTACTACACAAGTCGGACGAGGCAAAAGAGGAGCCCAATCTTCAGTATCATCCTCCCTTTAGGTAGGTACCTGTGTAAACTGTTTTGACATCATATTACTGGGTTGAATGCCAGTTTTGAACTGCTTAAGATCAATGAGGTGGGCAAGCACCTACCTGGCGTGCCTACCTACTTAGGTACCTGGCGCACACCAATGCCAAGTTACGTACAGGCAGAGCAGGAAGGCACGAATGGCTGAGGAGGTGCAAGAGCAGGTTAACCACCGCGCACCTACCTTCTCCCAAGGTTGGCTCAATCTTTTCTCTTCTACTTCTTGTTAATCTTCTTCTCCACTTTCACTTTTCCTTCTCAAACCAACATAACAAGAGCAGCGGCAGCACAGCACACCGCTCTCACTGCCTCCCCCCTACCAACCCTACTGCCTCAACCTCCATCACAACCACCAATACCACCACTACCGCCATCATGCCCAGGTAAGACTGTCAGTCCTCTGCTATACATGTTCTTGACTTCAAGCAGCCACAAGCGGAGCAGCAGTAACAACCACAGCCACAACCATAACCATGACAATCGCAACAACAGCCGCAACAGCAGTTAGTTTTCTTTGCTCTCAAGATCTCGTCAAGATATTGACGTATAGGTCAGACAAGAGGCAGCGCAACACCAGCACCGTTAGCAGCTACCAGCAGCAGCAGCATCTGGATAGCGTCTTGGGTCGGCTTCTACATGCTGACATCGAAAAAGTGATCCAGTGGGGCAATTTTCTCAGTTTGTTTCTCCCAGCTCTCTTTGCTATACAAACTTGTATATTAACGAGCAATAGCTAGAGGTCGCCTAGACAAAAGAATCTTCAAATTCGAGCGGAACCATGAAGAAGACATCCTGGCCGCTTCCACCATGATCGAACGGCGCAGGTTGCAGGAAGAAGAAGAAAAGCTGCTGCTGCTGCTGCCCAGGAGCAGAAGCTGCAACAAACAACGAAGTTGCAGCACAAGTTAAAGGAGGAGCAACTTATGGCTCAGATTTTGGGCGAGATAGTCACTGAGCGTGTAGAAGAAGCAACGAAGGCAGGAGATGCGCTGCTTGAGGCCACGAAGCAAGGTTTGAAATATTGACACATTCTTCTTCATCACGACTAACAGTATCCTACAGCAGATCAGCAGCAACTTGCAGTTGCAGTAGCAGCATATGAGGGCAGCAAAGCAGAAGCAGACAGGTTCAAGGCAAGGGCAGCAGAACAGGAGAAGGTGGTGGCCGGTCTGACTGCTGAAATTGAAGCATTGAATTCTCCACAAATGCCCCTGCCTGATGCCCTGAAAGTGGTCAAGAAGCAGCGGAAAGACTAGTTTTAGTCTTGCACGGTGTTTTCTCTTTCTTCTACATAAGTAATAACTACTCAACGGACTGTGTTTACTCAGTCTTAGATTCTGCTGCTGGAGGCCGCTGTCATTGTTGAAATCAATCTCTTACACCAGCTGTTCTTGAAACCATAAATAACCAGCTATTAGCTCAAAAGTCAAGATGGAAGGCCAGCCAGTGGTGTCAGAGCGATTATCCTTAATCTTCGGCCAGCATGACGAAGGGTCTGGAAAGCTTCGTGCGAACCTCACTCTGCTAGGACCCCAATACTAGTGGTTGACACTATTTCCGGAGGCCGGGCGGTAAAACAGTAGGTGTGAGCAGCCGAGGAGCATTGAAGACCCATCAGCCATTTATTGTCAGGGAGGCGTTGGGAATAGCAGCAGCATTGGGAATAGTGGTGGCGTTAGCAGCAGCAGCAGCAGCAGTAGAGTTGAGCGCATCAGCCCAGGTGACGGTCTCGCGCAGAGCAACAGCGCTCTCCCTGAACGGTGTCTGAAGCACCGCATTGACGACAGCGGAGCCGACGACAAAGCCCACGAAGTGTACGGGGACGGCCGAGCGACGCGGCGAAGGACGGCAGGAAAAGACGGCCTGGGCGAGGCCAGGGATGGCATGCTGGCACATGGTGTACCGTAGGACCAGACGGGCGGGAAGACGACCTCGAAGAACGCCCTGAGCGTCTTGCTCTGCGCAGATGCTGTCCGGGCACAATCAGCCTCGCGTCCGTCCGTGGGCCGAGACAGAGCTTGATGATGAGACCGGCGGAGACGAGGTAGATGTGAACCCAGGACATGCCGGAAAGGGGGTTCGAGGGGGTTTCCGTCGCTGTTCGCTCCAAGCGCGACTGGAGTTCCTCGAGGTCCAGGCCCAGTCGGCGAGGAGGTCGTGGGTAGTTAAGAGCGGCGGGCGTGGAAGGCGGCTTGTCGGCTGCTGTGGCGGCCACCTCGTCTTGGACGGCGGGATGGTTTTGTTTAGACTCGAGTTCGTAGGCCGGGTGGCTTGGGAGTGCTGGATGTGGCTTGTGATTCGAGTGTCTGGGGTTGGATAGCAGAGGGCTTTGGCGGCGGCGGTCGCCAATTAGTTTTCACCATCTCGATACGTCAAGGCACGGCGCGAGGAGTGTCAAAGGCCTGGAGAGCGGTGAGTGCCGCGAGGGTTGTTGGTCGTGGGGCATGGAAACGCAATGGTGGCGCAACCGAGAGTCATGCGTGATGACATCGGGACTGGCTTTCAAAATCCGCGTTGAAAGCACTTCATAAGTCGATGTAGTCAGAACAAGAGGACATTCGAGACACAAGAGAGGATCGATTTGGAAGTACTTGTAGCAGAACGCTCTTGGGTGCAAGTCCTGCTTCCTTCTCGAATATTCTCAATGTCCATGAGGGCTCCAGGAAGTCTCGTCTTAGCCAGTCAGTCACAAGTGGAGCCGAATACTAACAACCTAGACATTCTTCGAAATCTCTTACTTCACACAGGGCAGAGGCAGCCTCGCCATTCCTCATAGGCCTATTGGCAAGACGAACCACCAGAGACATGTGGGTAATATTCATCAAAGCTGCTCCACGTCACCCCACACTCATGAAGATCAAGTTTCCACCGATTTAGTCGCACTCAGAGAGTGAAATGATTGGGGTCACATGATGGCTTTTGATATCATGGTTTGTGGTGGAAAGGTTGTCGATCACAGCACAGGGCAGAATTTGTTTGCCAAGCCGAGGCTCCGGACGAGAGAAGAACCCTCGATGGCTGCTCAGAAAAGCTTACCTCGATTCTCAGACACCTCCCTGCATCCAATGTGGTGGTGGCCTTGGGATGACACGGGTCGTGGCGGTTTCACCAAGGGGAAATGATGTTGAGCGTTCAAGCTCAGGCCCATTTTTCTAACAGAGTCGGGAGTTGCCACATTGATGCCCTGTGTGTTGAAAAAGAGCGCGGTATTTTGCCTTTGATTGAGACTCATTTTAAGCAAGGCGTACTTCAAAGGACCGTAGCACAACGTCGCGTCGTGTCGAACTTGGGTACCAAGCTGTGGAAAGTCGTACCTTTAGGCACGTGTGAGCACTGACCATGGCACCACGTTGGCCTTGATGCAGAACTATCGCTCAAGTCTTTTGGTAGACGGTAGATGCGAAAAGGGCCATTAAGCAAGATTCAATGCTGGCGAGGCACATATCGATCGACGACTTACCCAGGTGATGTTAATTTATGATATCAATGGAACTGAGGCCATAGCGCAATGCCAAGACATTGTATCGAAGAACAAGACTCGGTGTACTCGCCTATGTGACGGCTTTGGTAGAATGTGTCTGGTTCTCTATTCCATGGCTAGTCTATCGGCGGTCTCAAGGGTTGACATACCTGCATCAACTCTACTACCAATCGCATGCGTCAAGAATGCTACTTTGAACACGAGCAGCATCTCACTCTTGACTGCAACATCTGCCATGCAATCGACGTGGAATGCTGGAAATAGCTTCATCAATTTGAATTGAGTCAGATTGTGGACACAATCTCCATTTTAGAGCTTCTCAAGCAGGCGACTTGGTTCGGGAGTAGGTCAAGCCGAAGCACTCGTGGAAAATACACGTGGAAACAGATCAATCAACGGATGAGGTCAGGGGCAGTGAGAAATGTTCCGACAACGGTGGCCTTGATCCTGGTTACGTAGCTGGATAGCTTCCCTGTGAGTTTGATAGTGGAGTGATAGCTGCAAGAAGGAGGCTGGGAGCGGAGCTATAACAGCCACACATTGATCACATCCTTGGAGATGGGGATTCACAACAGCGTTTGGCAGATAGACACGGTGAGGGAATTGATCTCCTCTGGTCGAATGCGGTATCCGTATTGACGAGGAATAACAAGTCGTTCCTTGCAGCAGTGGAGGACATGCAAGGACATGGTACAATGTACGGGGTAGACCAGAAGCGTCGGAGCAGTTCTGAAATGTTCGATGGAAGTCGCTTGGGTGACAGGACTCGGGATCGTATGGCACGTTGACCATTTGGCCCATGATGTGAAATGTGGGTGCAGAATTTGGTTGCACTGGCAGCTCTAGTGGTGAAACAAGATCGTTTTGTTGGGACTAAGATCGATTGACATTCCAGTTCTTACGGACCGACATTATGTGGCGCGAAACCCCGTTGTCATATGTCAGTCGGTGAGAGAGAAAGTGTTTGCATCGGGCCTGAAAGACTTGAGACAGGCCATGCCGTGCTTGAAGGTACGAGGGCGTCGGGAGAAGAATTTTGAGAACAACTGAGGCAGGACAATTTTGTCTAGAAAGGTCGAAAAACATCGAGTCTTGATATTAGGCTCAGCTGCCGATTGGGCGAGCCGAGAAATACCTTTAGCGTGGGCGCGTAGGTGCAGAAGCGCCTGGGGGGAAAGACCGAGGGGACCCTGGGCATTGCCTGGGATGCGGTGGAAGCCAGTTCATTTCAAGCCTAACGCCACTGTTGAACTCTCCTTATCGGTGATAGCTTGGACGCTAAGGATAAGGCACTCCCCTCATCCAGCTTGGAGAAGAGTGATATACGACAGGCACAATTCTCCATTTGACATGAGAGCTGTCGAAGATGGCTTTCGGTATGTGTGACGACTGTGAAAACACCCAAGATTTTCACATCAGCTCCGATGGCAATGTCCTGGGCAGGATGGGGATGGATCGCCCCGTGGCTTGAGGCGCCCCCAACTCCATATTTTGAAGATCATGGTGGTTGGTAATAATGATCGACATGAATTCTCCGGTCGCAGTACGAGTCCTCGTACTTGCAATCACAGACACTGAACATACAAGTTGCAATTGTGTTCCGGACTCGACCTGCGGACCTCGGGCACCACTGCATGTCATTCTTCACAACGGACGCAGGGAGCGACGAACGCGCTTCCGTGCCGCTCATAGTCCGAGTACCTCGAGTCTAGGCGGTAAAGTGAAGTCCAGATTTCAATTTGTCTGCACGATGCATCATTACCTTAGTTAGCGACTTGGTAGTTGGCAGTTGTAGGTACCAAGTCTGTTAGTGCTAGTGGGGGCACTGGGCACCGAGACTTCCAGCTAAACTTAGAAGCTACCTACAGGCTACTCGTACTTTGTACCGCTAAGGACAGGCTTCCATCCCCCTCCTCATGCTCCGTATCTGACGGGTGAGAAACGTGATGATTATCACTTGACATGTCTCGCGTGCGGTGTCACCCCACTGATACTTAGCTAGGTAGGTATATAAATAATAATCCTTTACCATCGTTGTTAGCATGGATAGGCGCTGGAAAGGCCAGATATCAATGTCAATCTCCTGGTGGCCTCTTGAATCTTGATCCCGGTCTCTGATGACGGAAACTCTGAATGGGCAGCAGCCGAGAATTGTGCTTTGGGGTTTCATTGGGTGGTGGTCTTGCCCATGGTGTGTGACAGAACCTGGTGGGAACCTGCTGGGCGGCCAATCGAGCGGCTGTAAGCGCCCAAGCCTGACCTGTTCCGGGCATCTCTGTATCTCCCCCAGTCACTCTGACTTCTGTGCCTGTCCATCCATCAACTCTTCCTCATCTTCAAGGCCCAGATCAACGTGCATATCCCTCTAACCCGTCTTCGCCGAGAGCCATGATTCGGCCTGGCCCTCCATCCTCCCCATCAGATGCTTGTCCACTTGCTGTGAGCTGCGGGGCCGCAATCAAGCGCCCGCCGACCAGTAGTCCTCCCAGGACATGTTTCCATCAATGTCGTTGGTACTTTGAGAGATGACCGCCATTGCTGTGCTTCTACTCGTGCTTGCTTGCTATTGTTGCGCATCATTCAGAGCAACTGCGCCTCAATTCATGATCAAGTGGACCGGCCTTCGTTGCTTCAATGTATAGCCTGCTGACCGACAGAGACACTTGTTTCACTGTTTCATTTCCTGCTTGATATACCAAATCTGCCCGTCCCGGTACCTGGGTCCATACGAGTACTCAGTACCGACTCGGCCTCACAAATCAACCGCTCTCTTGATCTAACCACCAAATATCCCTCTTACTCCTGTCCGGCCTGCCTCATATATCACCACCTGCAGCAGATTCCTCCCCGCGGCTACCGGGGCGCTTCGTGGGCATCTGCCATTCAGTCCAGCCCAGACACGCCCTCTCTCTCTGCTGCTACCCATCTTCATTGTTGCACGGCCGACTTTCCAGTCAAGATCCAAATATCCGACACTCTGGACATAATCCATCCCACGATTGGTGCCATGTCATAGTTGTGGGCAGCGTTGCAGAGATCTTGGGCCCCAGACGGCAATATACATCACTCCTGATATCCTCGTGCTTGTATAGACCGGTCGATCCTTCGGTCCCAATATGGCTACTCAAGGGGTTGCTTCGCGACAGCGCGCTGTCACCAACAAGGGCAAAGGTGTAATACTTCCACCAAATCTCAAGGCAAGAGCTTTCGCCGAAGAGATCCCCTTCGAACCTTTTGCCTGTACGGCGTCACTGCTTCTCTTTGCGCAGGGTTCAACGGTGATATGTTTGCACCACGACAGTTTGGCACTTGAGAGAAGGTTTCAGAAGCATTCCAAAGAGGTCATATTAATATCGGCCGATAATGTTAGTGAGACCGGTGCTGGAAGATTGGTCGTCACCTACGATGTCGGCCAGACTGCCATAGTTTGGGACTTGTTCACTGGCGAGCAAATTTCAAGATTTGTCTCTTACGAATCCTTGAAAGTCGCCCATTGGATGAGGAATGGGAATATAGCCTTTGGTAAGCTGGTGAACCCCATTCCAACTGGACTTTTTTGTTGACTTGATTCGGTAGGCAACACCAAGGGTGAGGTGATTTTGTTTGAGCCAGCGACCAGCGACCATGTTTCAGCCCGAACTATATTCGATCCTATCACCGCAATCGCACCTTCTGCGGATTGCAAAACCTATGCCATAGGGTATGTTCTTGTACTCGACTCTGGCCGACTTTACTAAATCCCCACAGGTATAATAATGGTTCCATCCTACTGGCCGCATTGCAACCGGCATTCACAATCCTTCATACGCTGACCACATCGCGGAGTCCATCGCCCATTGTTTCCTTGACTTGGCATGCTTCGTCCTCGAAGCAAAAGTCCGATATGCTGGCCACTCAAACTGCCGATGGTGATTTGAGAGTTTGGAGTGTGAGTAAACCTCCGACCACCGAGGTTCCTCGTGTCATTCGTGCTTTGAAACGCTCAGACAACTATGTCCTTGGCCGCAACTGGATTTCATGGTCCAAGAATGGCCGCATAGTTCAATTCTCCGAAGGTAAAACATGGGCGTGGGATGTGCGGACAAAACATGTCACCTATGATCCAATTCCAACCGTGGATGGTGTTCGTGCAATCGCCGCCCATGGTCCCACAGGAACCCTTTTCACCTTGGGCCCGGATTACACTGTTCAGCAGTATGATGTGGAAAGGGCACATATGGTTGCAAATGTTCGACATATACCATTCACAATACCACCCACACCACCGGAGGACGTGCGCCAATTGTGGACAACATCAGAAAGTGAGGAGGAGTTGGCATCTCCTCTCGCAAAGGCAAGACAAGATTTACGTGCGAATCCCGCCGTCAAAATGACAAACAACAACATCCCAAGCCCGAACTCCGCAGCGAGTCCTCAACGACATGGGGCCAGGAACGGAATCAATGAGGTCATCTCTCCAGCTGGGAGAACCGACTACACTGCAACTTCCATCGACACAGGCGTCCAGTCATACATGACACTCACACAGTCATATAACCAACCATTTTCGAGCCAACCTTTTCCCAACCAACAGTATGTTAAGCCGCCACAGGTCCCAACTCAATCCCAGCAAATACAATCCCCAAGATCGGCAGCTCCAAAATCGGCAAGGAAGGCTTCTAGGCTACGACAAGAGGTCGTAATGAGTCCGGAAGAGCAAGCCGCAGCGGCAGACCTCTTCCCTTATACACGAGCCCGCCTTCATGACGTTCCATATAAACCTCCGCGTGCAACTGACGATGCCCACCTGACACCAGATGACTTGCGGAGGCAAATGCTTAGTGTTGTTTTTGGCTGGGAAGGTGATATCTACGACCTTATTCGAGACGAACTTAGTCGACATGAGATGGACAGCTACAATGCGATATATCTCGCAAAATGGCTGGACCAGGACTCGGAGCACCTCGCGGAACTGATGGGAGCAACTGGAACTGAGTCAGACTTGGACTGGACTCTTTTGGCTTTGGGCACAATCAGCAATCAGATGAGTGCAAAGAAGATTACCCAAGTTTTTATTGAGAAGATGCTCGCAAAGGGTGATCTCCATGCGGCAGCCACTCTAATGTTTGCACTGGGCGACACTTCCGATGCTATCGAGGTCTACGTGTCAAGATCTCAATACATGGAGGCTGTTTTGCTTACTTGTGTTGTGTCACCCGACGACTGGCAACGTCAGTCATACCTTGTGAGGAGATGGGGAGAGCATGTCGTTGAGAATTCTCAACAGTCGCTTGCTATCCGATGCTTCTCGTGCACCGGTGTGGAGCCATCAGATCCATGGACTTCTCCAAGCTCTCAAATGGCTACGGGTATGGTAATAGACACTTTCCCTCCTCCTGAGCTTGAGCACAAGGTTCAGATCCTTGAACCTACCGAGCTTCCCGCCATCTTCCAGAAAACATTGGAAAGGCGACGCACACTTGATGCACCGACTCCAGTGGCTATGCCTCGTCCTGCACCACACGTCATACCGGCTCCCCCAACTCCTTTCAGGAATGCAGCTGCCTCCGGAACTCGCATCACGCCTCAGACATCGGCACTCAAGCTAATCACTTCTTTCGCCGAAGCTCAATCTAATATCAGCTTCAAGTTCCCAGGTTTGAAAGCTGAAGATCGAACGCCAACAGTGGGAGCAGCTGTTACTCCGATAGCTGAATCTGCAGTCGGATCTGCCTTGTCACCTGGAGGGTTAGGCTCATATCGCTTGAACAATATTCGAAGCATCAATAGTGCTCAGCGCTGACGGGAGACGGGTCAATCACTCTGGGTCATCACTCTTTGGCTCGACAGCATTCAGTGGA